TCAACCTCAACCTGGAAGTAAGAAACGAATTAGAGGCCTGCAATTTACCAAGACGTTCACTTATGAGTACCTGGCGGTAGTCTATGTACCCGTAAATAATCCCCACCACCACCATGGCAGCTAAAGCCCAATACCAGACTATAAAAAAGTTCATTGCGGAGCACAGGAAAAATCCTAGAAGAGCGAAGAACCAGTGGTAGTGTTTCCATTTCGGTCTCCAGCTGAAATGACGCCGAATAAGGCCTTTGAACTTTATAAGTGAAAGGGACGGGACATACCTTGGTGCTTGCATGATCGACAGTATGAAACACGAGAGGTTCAGTGCCGCGTAACAAGTAAGAAAACATATCGAAACTAGAGGGGCAATCTTGTCCAAACTTCCGATCATAGCAGCCATCATACACAGTATAGTAGTAAAGATCAGCGCCCTTCGGGGTTCGCCATTTTCTGTGGTAGAAGATAACCGATTCAGGAAAGGAATGATCCGGTCTCCAGCGATGGCCTGAAAGATCAAACGATCAGAAAGAAGGAACCAACAAGTCGTTGCCAGCAAAAAGAACTGACCTGGAGTAGACGAGGCGAGGTGATTAAGCATTGCAAAGCTTGTGCTAGCGAGGCAATGATAATACCCAGCTGCGTCAATATTGGCAAGGGAAAGGCGACGTCTTTCATCGCCTGCAACCTTCCCTCTCCAGAATGCACGCGTCCAACATCCTGCCCGAGTAAGTACTTTCGGGTTCCAACAGCAGCCCACAAACCCAGATACGATGTGTAGATTATAAAGCTGATCACGATCGCTCCAAGAGTTCCAGACGGAATGGATCTCTCCGGCTGCCAGAGATTTTTTGCTCTATCTGCACCACTGTCAAGAACAGATGACATTAAGTTACAACAAGAGTTTTCACTTGAGAAAGCGGTTACCTGAGAATTCCAGTGAAGCATGGAAAGAAAATCGATAAAACGACTGAAAATGAAACACCAGGTTCATATCCTGGACCCCAGTTACTTTTGAATGTTTTCCACGAAAGTCCAGTTAAGCTGGGAGGTACATTTCCATTAGGCGCCGTAAACAAACCAAGGTAATACGACAGCATGGTATAAAGCACAACGAGGAAAAACGCAATGCCTAGCTTGGAAACAAATTTGATCCCAAAATAGACCTGTCAACACAAGAGAACCACGCAGTTCAGTGAAATCATTTGAGTCATGCCACAAGAACGAAATGAACCGAAAACAAAACTATTCCTACCAGTAGTCCAAGAGCAAAGAGTATGATCAGACCAATGATCCGATTTGCAGACGGAAAGCGAAATGCTGAGAAGGTAAATTCCAACATCTCCACGGCACCGAGTGCCTGCACAAAGACGGAAGCATAGCATTTATGAAGATCACGATTCACTGTAAGCTTGGAGTTCAGACCGACTTACTTCGAGAACTGCAAGAAGCATTACTCCGATGTAGTACAGGCATCCAACTGCGCCTCCAAACTTAGGACCCAGCGCTCTCGATATCAGATAGCTGCCAGCCAACAGAAGAATGACTTTTAACTTCACGAGAACTCGACGACTTACTATGTGCCACCTTCTTCTATGGGACCATTTGTAGCGACAGCACTCAACGACATGGTTGTCAACAGCGCGCAGAGGAAGGAGATGATGGCCACCAAGAAGGATTGCCATACTCCAGCATTCCCAACGATGTAGAAGAACCTCAAGAAAATCAAAACTCCTGAAAGCACACACGGGCAAATTGTGTGAGAATTGACAAAGAAAAGGAGATGGAAACCGGGAGCAGCTTACCCCACATATTTTCACAAGTCGGGATGAGCACACCAGCGTAAGTCCCGAGCCCGTCCTGGTCTTTTCTGCGGAACTTTCTCCATAAAGCTGTAAGGAAGCCGGGCTTCTCCTCCTCCTTGGTGTACGGTGGCGAGTTCTCTCTCATCTCTTGCTTAAACTCGGCCGTCCTCTGCAACGATTCCGTGGATGACGCCCTGGACGCGACCTTGTGTGAGTTGAAGCAAGATTTCCCGGCAATGACCGGGCTGTCGGGCGGAAATGCTTGCGAGGATTCCATCTTTCCTGAAAAAGCACCGACAAAACCTGTACAGCACAAGATCCAACGCACGAATCAATCGATTTGCGAGCCATGCAACATAAATTCCCCAGCTCTAAGGCGCCATGCAAGCTGGCGGCATGGAAATTTTACCTCAAAAACCTCGACTGAGCGCAGGATTGCCGCTCGTGGCCTCGAATTCAAGAGAGCGCTCTAGAGAAGCAGCCGCTGGGGGGAGGAGAAAAGGGCGCAGGCAGCGCGGAGAATTAGGTAAAGGATTGCACAAACCGCCTCAATCGAACCGCATTCCAGAGCTGCGGCGCCCGGCGCCTCGATCCGATTGACGATCGCGTCGCGCGGCGATCCGAGAGAAGAGGCGCTCGCGATCCTATAATCTAGACGATGAATGTATGGCATGCAGAGCGCAAATAATCTCCCCCCTGTCCCTCTTCTCTCTCTCTTGTCTTGGAGCCAAGAAGGGGGAAAATGGAAAGGAGAGAAAAGAAAAAAAGAGGCACTATACAACAACACAAATCAAGTTAATATAAACAAGAACAGCATCAGATTTTGGGAACCAAAGCGTACGGAGTGGGCGGGAGTTTGAGTCGTGTATAAACGAGATTAGTTTTTTAGTGACGAGAAGATCCAACGCCGAAAACCGTTCCACGTGCCTTACTATTCTGGAATGCCCCGTTTACTTTTTGCCCGAATCTCATGCGAAGATTCGCATTGCGTCCAAGCTACAAGGTAGGTAAGCTGAGCTTGCAGTTTGATCACACCACAACAGTGCCTTGTTTGTAAACTTTACATTATAAGAGAAGGGGATCCGGGAATATAGTATTTCTTTCCTTGTTTCACCACCTACAACATCGTGATTGATCGCTTCTATATGCATTCATTACATTGCCCATGTACATTTTCGAATCTCTCTTCCCTTTATTTTTTGAGTCTTGCTTTTCACCAACACTGTGAGCGTTGGAATCGATGTTTCCAGATCCCAAAGCGTTGTTGCGGTGTATGTGGGTGTAAATCAGCGCGGGTGGCATGGCTAGCTTGGCTGATCCATGGCGCAAAACACGTGTAATTTCCCTTTGGCCAACGTCATAGCGCCAAAAGGGGATGGGTCCCGTTTCCGTTGACTTGAGCCGGCTGAGGTGGCGTCCATATCATAGGCTGCCTCCTGCGTTGACTAACGTAGCTCCGTACGCCTCTCAACCTCAACGACAAAGGCAGAGCTCATGAGCTCATCCTACTCCACTTTATTTCCTCCTTGCTATAAACTTCCTTGACCGAGTTTCCCCATCAGAAGCCGGTTCATCCGCGAGATACTGTGACACAATCAAAGAAGACAGCTCTGTGTGTGTTCCATGCTCAAGATTGTCAATGGCGTTCGATGGGAACATCAAAGTTGGCGTAGCTAGCAAGAAGGGGATTATTTCCATTCTTCTTGGTGCAAGCCAATGTGTGTGGCATGACAGAGGAGCGTCTGTACAAAACCGTTTACCTTCCCCCCCAAGAGATCTGATGCGTTTTGAATGGAAGAATTTCTCTGGAGATATGATTCCTGTGAGTCTATCTATGTGATAGTGCTCCTCTCAAGCATCCACTTCGCTGAAGTTAGCTGGAGCCTATTGGGCAAGAGAAGGTAAGAGATGACCCTGCAGCCCGGACAGAACGGCATGCTTTCCACGAGCTCAACCTTGGAACAGTACGTAGTGATTTTCCAGTGGGGCAAACCCAAAGTCGCTGCAGATACAAGCGAATCAAGTGACGCTCAAGTCCATGAGCCTGATATGGCTGTCGCCTTCGGAAGCAACGAAATGCCTCTCAGGGATACCCCCTTTGGGCATATGCAGCAACAACATTTTTCACAACTCCTCGTCCTTCCTGAGCATTTCGCGAATGAGGATTCTAGCTTATTCAAGGCAGCCATCCCGGTCATATGCCCCTACCATGGTAGACCACGACGCAGCGCCCCTGTAACTAGTACAATCAGACCCTTCCATATCCCCACTCTGGGCATGTTCGTCGCGGTGTCGTCTTTCCTAGTGACCATTCGAAACCGTGACATGCCGCCCCTCGCGGGCATCTTTCCAAAGCTTCAGGAGATGCGTATGATGCCCGAATCCAGGTGGCAGCACCCTCTTCAATCATGGCCATCCAGGTGGCAGGCACCCGCACGGGAATCTTTCCAAATGAGACGTCGCTTTTGGGCAGGCATTTTGCCTGGGCGAGGCAGGCGTGGTCGCAGGAGGCCCAAGAGATCTCCAAAGAGAAGCTTAGTTTGATAGGCGGAAGAGGCGTAGCTCCTCACGATTGTGTTCCTGTTCCGACACGGCATCAGCTCAATTGCTCAAAGGCAGGCCTTGCGTCGGCCACCCTCTCACCGCACGACGTGAATGCGGCAAATCATCGTGTTCCACACGGATGATCTTTCTGGCCGAAGCACATCGACATCGGCGCAGCGGCATTTTGAGAAAGAAGGGCGTGGGGTCGTTGAGATGGCCGTGCTGCGCGTCATCGGCGTCCGCGTCAGTGAAGGGCATGCCATCGAAGACAAGCTTGGCGTGATCGAGCTCCCCTGCCGAGCAAATGCAGAAAGGATGGAGTTCCACGCATCAAATCACGCCGCCTTTGATCGCCGGGATCGCCGTTCGCTGCAAAGCCCACACCACGTCCCAGCGGCAGACAGGTTTCCCCGTTTGGGCATATGCCATCAGCATCACCGCGTCTTTGTACGGCATTGAGTGGTACAGCTGCTCTCTGCGAATATGCGTTACTTTGGATTGATGATTCGCCATCAGGCGCGACGCCGCGAGTGTGTCCCCCCATTTTGCGCGTACGTCTTGATCACGAGGTCCCACGAAACATGGCTGCGCCGAGGAGCCGCATCGAACAGGCCAACGGAGCGTGGAACAAGATCCACAATTTCGTACGGCGCCACGTCATTGCTGTCGCGCGACTCGTGGACTTCTCCCGTTTGCGTGCACGCCGCGGCCAGGATGTTTCATGACATGCTGCGCAATTCCATCAGACACTCGCCCAAGCTCGCGCCCCGTACATGAGGAAAACGTGATTTTGCGATGAAATCGCTGATCTGCCGGCTCGAGGAGAGGATATGAGCCTGGACCTGGTGATCCTGTATGAGATCGAGATTTCTCTCGGTGATCTCATCCCTGGAATGAGACGCTGGATCCTCCCAACTTCCGCTCGCTCCAGGGGCAACAACAAAGAAAAATGCTTCCTCACTTTTCTTATGTATATGTCAATGACAGAGGAGCGTTTGAACAAAATTCCACTCGAAAGATCTGATATCAAAACCTTTTTCCTCTTCCTAGTGGCAGAGTTTCCCTGTTGTTTGTGTTTGTGTGCTCATCAAATAGGATTCTGCAATCCCACAAGATCTCCACTTTACTCACGTTGGCTGGAGTGCGAGAGCAGATTGGCCAAGAGAAGATAAGCCGCGGGGCCGCCTTGACTCTCCACCTCGGGAGCCCGCCGCGCCGCTACCAAAGCAAGATTGATTTGCTCCTGCGTCCTGCAAGCGCCGAGAAGCGTCCTCCACGCAACTTGGCCCGGCCAAAACGGCATGCTTTCCACGAGCTCGGCCGCCTCGTCAAGCCTACCGCAGCGAGCAAAGATGTCAACCATGGAGCAGTAGTGATCTCCAGTCGCGCAAAACCCAAAGTCGCCACCAATGCAAGCAAACCAAGAGACACTCACGTCCATGAGCCCGATGTGGCTGCAGGCAGCCAGCACGGCGGAGAAGGTGATCTCATCCGGTGTCAAGCCTTCCAAGCTCATGAGTCGAAAGCACTCAAACGCCTCCCGGTGATGCCCGTTTTGGGCATATGCTGCAATAACAGTGTTCCACGACACCAAGTCCTTGCTGGGCATTTCGCAAAAGAGTCTGCTAACTTCCTCAAGGCAGCCAACGCGGGCATATGCCCCGACCATGGTAGCCCATGACGCAGCGTCCTTGTATCTGGTACCATCGAACGTCCTCCGCGCACCTTCCAGATCCCCACTCTGGGCATATCCATGGAGCAACGAGTTCCACGCCGCGGTGTCCTCCTTGGGCATCTTTCCCAGGGCATCCGCCGCTTGGTCCATCCGCCCTCTCCGTGCAAATGCCGTCACAAGCGTCGTCCACGAAACGCTGTCCCTCGCGGCCATCTTTCCGAACACTTGCTCCAGGAGATTCGTATGATTCCCGGATCCCCCGTACGCCCCAAGCATCGCGTTCCATGATACGAGCGTGCGTTCCGGGGAGCCGTCGAAGAGCCGCTTGGCAGCGGGGAGATCCCCGTTCTGGGCGCTCCCGGCAATCATGGCCGTCCAGGTGGCAGGCGCCCGCGCGGGAATCTTTTCAAACGCACGGCGGGCGTCGTCCGGCTGGCGGGAGTGGGAATATGCGGTGATGATGATGTTCCACGGGACGACGTCGCTCTTGGGCATGGCATCAAACAGGGACTTCGCCTGGGCGAGGCATGCGTGGTCGGAGTAGGCTCCCAGCAAGATCGCCCAGGAGATCTCGTCTCTCTCGGGCATCCAGTCGAAGAGGAGCTTGGTTTGATCGAGGGCGGCGCCCGAAGTGGCGTAGCTCCTCACGATTGTGTTCCACGACACGATGTTCCGACACGGCATCAGCTCGAAGGCGGATCTTGCCTCGGCCAGCCTCTCGCCGCACCACGCGAATGCGCCAATCATCGTGTTCCACACGAAGGCATCGCGCTCGGGGATGGAATCGAACATTCGCTTGGCGTTGCCAGTCTCTCCGGCCGAAGCGTACGCCTGGCACATCGACTTGAGCGACAGTGCGTGGTGCAGTGGCATTTTGGAAAAGAAGGCCTTTGCCTGGCCGAGATGGCCGTGCTGCGCGTGTGCCGCAATCATGGCCGTCCATGTCAATGCATCCCTCAAGGGCATCTCATCAAAGAGAAGCGTCGCGTGTTCAAACTCCCCCTGCTGCGCAAAAGCGGAAAGGATCGAGTTCCACGACACAAGGTTCCGCTGAGGCATCCAATCGAACATTTCCTTTGCACGTCCGGGATCGCCATTTGCTGCAAAACCCCACATCATGGCCGTCCACGACACCACGTCCCACTGCGGCATCCTTCGATACAGCTCCTCTGCGAGACAGATTTCCCCGTTCTGGGCAAATGCCGTCAGCATCGTCGTCCACGTCACCCCGTCTTTGTACGGCAGTGAGTGGAACAGCTGCTGCGCATCCTGGACGCTGCTGCTCTGCGAATATGCCGCCAGGAGTGCGGTGCTGGAGACTGTGTCTTGCAATGGCATCCTTTCGTAGAGTTCCTTGCCTTTCGCAAAATGCCCGGTTTGGGTATATGCAGTGATCATGGTGTTCCACACCTGGGGATCCCTCTCAGGCATGGAGTCGAAGAGAGATTTTGATTGGGCGAGTTGCCCCTCTTCGGACGCTGCAAGGATCATACTGATCCAACAGACATTGTCCCATCCTGGCGCGCGATCGAACACGTCTTTGGCGCCGCGGGTATGCCCCCCTTGGGCGCACGTCTTGATGACGAGGTTCCACGAGACATGGCTGCGCTGGGGAGCCGCATCGAACAGGAGCTTCACTCGCGCGACGTCTCCGGCCTGGGCGTGGAGCGAGATCCATGAATTCCAGGACACGGCATCGTGCATTGGCATCCTGTGGATCACCTCCGCTGCGTGGTGGCATTGTCCGCCCGAGGCATACGCGCGGCACAGCGAATTCCACGACACCACGTCTCGCCTGGGATTGCTGTCGAAGAGGGCGCGCGATTCGGAGATCTCTCCCGCTTGCGCGCACGCCGCGGCCAGGATATTCCACGACACTGTGTTTGGCTGCGCGATCCCATGGAACACTGCCCTCGCCTCGCCCAAGCTCCCGCACGCGCAGTACATGAGGAGAATGTGATTCGCGATGAAAACGCTCGTTTGCCGGCTCGAGGAGAGGATCCGAGCGTGGATCTTGCGGCCCTGGATGAGATCCCTGGCCCTGGCACACGATCGGAGAAGAGAAGTGAAGGCATCCTCGTTGAGCCGACCAAGGGCAGGGGGCATTCAAAATGGTCTTCACCATTTTAGGGTTCTTGGAAATTGTTACCCGTTTGGGAGAAAGAAGAAAAGAATGAGCTGCAATCGCGTTCCCGGGGGCGGATGCCAGGGGCCCGATGTGCGGCTTATCGATCGCGGCAGCCATGTGAGTGATCGCTTCTCGGTGATCCTTGTTTTCTCATCTTGCACAGGTGATTCTGGACAACGGGATTGTCGAGGTGACGATCTCGAGGCCTGGGGGCATTGTGACGGGGATTCGCTTCGGCGGCATTGATAATCTGCTCGAGATTCACAACAAGGAGACGAATCGCGGGTTTGTTTGTTTGCTTTCATTCCTTTCTCGTCTAGCGAGCAAGCATCTGATTGTTTTATTTTTCTTTCTTTGCTGCCTTGAAGCTACTGGGACCTCAACTGGAACGAGCCTGGAGGGAAGGACACTTTCGATGTGTAAGGCAAACTTTGTTTACTCGATCGTGATTGCTAACCGATCAGCCATCGCTACGATTTTTCAGTCCCAGTGGAACGATTTTCCAGGTTGTGTGTAGCGATGGTGACAAGGTGGAACTTTCGTTTCTGCGGCCTTACATTCCGGGAACTAAGATGCTTCCTCTTAACATCGACAAAAGGTGAGTGATTCTCTTTTCATTGTGTGCTAGTAGCTAGCTTTGCTGGCTTAAAACGTAGATTTGTTCTTCTCCGTGGCAACACTGGATTTTACACTTACGGAATCTACGAGAGGCCGGCTGGATGGCCAGACTTCAACCTTAATCAAACACGGGTGACTTTTAAACTCCGCAAGGACAGGTCTGGAAAAATATCGGAGCTTTCATCCTTCTTGATACTTTGCTGGCTTGTAGGTTCCAGTTCATGGCAATGGCCGATACAAAACAGCGGCCAATGCCATCGCCGGATGATCGTTTGCAGCAACACTGCACGCAGCTAGCTTATCCTGAGGCTGTTTTGATTCACACTTCTCAAAACCCTGAGTTTCGAGGTGAGGTATGGGATTAACACTATGTTTTTGTTGAGTATAAATTTCTGTAACATTTTTGGCCAGGTGGATGACAAATATCAATATTCTTGTGATAACAGGGAGAACAGAGTACATGGTTGGATCTCATGCAACCCCGCTCTAGGCTTCTGGATAATCACCGCCAGTGACGAGTTCCGCAATGGAGGGCCTTTGAAACAAAATTTGACTTCACACGTTGGCCCAACATGTCTCGCTGTAAGTTAAGAACTTTGGATATTGAAGCTCTCTAGATTTCTTTTTTTTTGTTTCCACCAGATGTTTCACAGTGCACATTACGCTGGCGCAGCCCTGTGCCCAGAGTTTCGCAATGGGGAAGCCTGGACTAAAGTTTTTGGACCGGTTTTCATATATTTGAATGTAGCGGCAACTTATGCTCAGGTGAATTGTCGCTATCTTTGGGAGGATGCAAAGCAGCAGGTGATATGTCTATGCGGATATTTTTTGTTTCTTTTACCTCCTGTGTTTCAGATGGTTACAGAAGTGGGGTCGTGGCCTGTTCCCTGGCCTGTGTCTCCAGATTTTCCCAAATCAATGGACCGCGGAAGCATTTCAGGAAGACTACTAGTCAAAGATAGGTACTGTTTCATTATGAGCTGCTGTCCTCGGTTCATATGTTTTTCTGTGACATTGTAGCTTCAAGTCACCAACCCCATTTGCGGGATGTTATGCCTTTCTTGGCTTAGCTTCCCCCGGTGACAAAGGTTCGTGGCAAACGGAGAGCAAGGTGAATGCTTTTTCTTTTGTGGGGGTTAATGGACGATGTACCTGACTTGTTTGTTGCTGCCAGGGCTACCAATTTTGGGCCCAGGCTGATGCGGAGGGATATTTCCACGTCAAGCATGTCAGAGCAGGCAAATATAATCTGTATGGCTGGGTGCCTGGTGTCCTGGGTGACTACAAAAAGGAAGGCAGCATAGATGTCTATCCCGGTTTGTATTCCACGCAGTGTTGCCACTTCCAAGAGTCACAAAACTCACTATGTATGCAGGGTCATGGTTGCAACTGGGACATATGGTTTATGAACCGCCCAGGGATGGACCGACAGTCTGGGAGATTGGAATTCCCGATCGAACAGCTGCCGAGTTTCACATTCCGGATCCGAACCCAAAGTATATCAATAGGCTTTTTGTCAACCATTCGGAAAGGTACGCACACTCTTGGTTTTGCTTTTTTTCGGTGGCTGGCAATCTTACTTTTCTCCTTACAAGATCTGAATACTTTATTGTAGATATCGACATTATGGCCTGTGGGAGCGGTACTCGGAGCTATACCCAGAAGGTGATCTTGTGTTCACCATTGGTAAAAGCGATTGGAGATCTGATTGGTTCTTTGCACATACTTGCCGGTACAATGTCACGACTTCCTCAATACTCACGCTCACCTACTGATGGAAATATTTTTTTAAACCTTTTCCGCTTGCGGTGCTGCAGAATTGAAAAGGATGGTAGCGTCAAACCATCGACTTGGCAGATCCGGTTTCATCTGCCCTGCGTCCAAGGCGGGGTTTATAAGCTCCGGTTAGCTTTCGCGGCATCAAACAATGCAGCCATTCAGGTACAAAAAGGTGTTTTAACGCTAACGCTGTGTTTCAACCGCAGGTCAGAGTTAATGACCCCAATACAAGGACCACGGTATTTGACACGATGCAATTTGGCAAGGATAATGCAATAGCACGCCATGGAATCCATGGCCTCTACCACCTTTGGAATGTGGACGTGAGGTCGGAGTTATTCAGAGCCGGTGAAAACATTCTCTACTTGACGCAGCGCAAGCCAACAAGTCCCCATTGTGGGGGTTATGTATGACTACATCCGTCTTGAGGCACCTGGTGAGTGTAGGTACGAGAGCTAGAGGACAGCAGCTTTCTCGCGCGGCTTGCAATCTTGCGTTTTGTCCTTCCCTCGCGCATATTATAATTTGTGGGGGCCTCTCCCTCTGGAAGGAAGCGTCCAAAGTGGAAAAAGAGCAAGGCTCGCTTGGTTTGTAGCAGCAGCAGAGGAGGGAGGCGACCTCTCTCTCTCTCTCTCTCTCTCTCTCTCTCTCCCTGAGGGGCTCTCCTTTATGTCGCAATCAGGCAACAAACACAATTTGGCTCCTTGGCTCGCCGCTTCTCCTCTTTCGCCAGCTTTGCGGTACGAGAAAAAGAAAAGAAGTTAAGCTATTCTTCTTCGTCCTGGTTTTGCTCTCGATCATTCATTCCCTCTTCCAGTTCGTGCTTTTAACAAGAAAAAGGATGATCCGGGTGGAAGATTTGGAATTAAGGTGCTTGAGGTCAATCGCCACTATATAACTCCCGGTTCGTATCAGGATCTGCGACGTCATCCCAGAGCGCGTTCCTCACCGGAGCATAAAAAAGAGCGTTTGCTCCACTGACGCTGCGGCCGTGGGATGGGAAAGATCCAACGGCCCCTGGCCCGTCTCAAAAGACGTGGGTGGCATCATGCAATGTGGATGGGGGTAAGGCCGCTCCCCTAGCCACCGGCTGCGGTCTACGTCAACAAATAGTTCCCGGGCGAATATCCATCCCTGCAACAAAGCTAGATGCCACTACGCCACTTGATGTCCCCGCCCTCCTTGAGAAACCAAAACAAACAATTCCCTCCCTTCCTAGAGTTGAGTTGAATACCATTTTGTGTGGTAATGTGTGAGAGCGATGTTTTCCAAACCAGCCAATTTTTATACACCCAATGCTGCGGCCACATTTTTCTAAAGACTATAGAAAACGAGAGATGAGCACAATCCCTGGAGTTTTTATATGCACAAGGGGTGTCAATCTGGAAGCAGGAATCATGTCATGCATGGCCGTCTCTTTCTGCATTGGAGGTAGAGAGGGTATAGAGTGTATAGAGCTGCTTCAGCTCTTTTTGAGGGGAATATGCAGGCAGTTATAAACCCTTATTTTTGAATGGAGCTATCCAGTGTATATTTTGTTATGAATCAACTGCCAAGGATCTTGGTGGACAAATTCCAGACCCAGCAGCCGCAGCAGCCAGTAGCAGCAGCCAGAGCAGCAGCTGCTGCTTCTCTGTACCCACTCTCTTGGAAGATGTGTGGGAGCATTGTATGCTGTACCAAGAAATGGAAAGATGGAAATCTCCCTCCTGGTTGCTCTCTCTTGTGGATGTAGCAGCAGCAGCAGCCAAGAGCAGTGAGTGAGTGTGTGGCAGCAGAGCCAGGCTGGCCCAAAGGGCAGCCATTCTAGGGCAAAATCTAACTAGGGCCTATAATACTAAAGTGTCTTTTTTCTGTATTCAAGTAGACTTGCTGACATTTTTGTGCTGCAGAGTCACCTGACACTTTGAATGACGCAGAGGGAAGAGAAGAGCAGCAGCAGGCAGGCAGGCAGGCAGGCAGGCAGTGGTGGGCTGCTATGATGTGGGGTGTATCATTTTCCCTCAGGATTTCCCTCTCTTGTAATGTCATAACTGACCCAGTCCCAACCAATGGAACCGCGGTTACCGTATGAGTTTGCTGGTGGTGGTGCCGGGAGTGTGGGGGACAAGGGCGTCAGACATGATGGCCGTCCGCCGCCGCAGTCGCGTGGTGGCGGTAAGCCGCAGGCGGCGCCGTCCGGGCGGGAATCTATACTGGATACAACCGCAACCCGTGGCCCGTATTCGTATGCCGTATCCCGGTTGCCCATATTTCTTTCGTCTACATTAGTGATAATGATGCATCAGATTCTCGGGGCTTTCAATCCATCTAAGAACGAAGATTCAAAACAAGTTGGCAAGCTCGATCTATAGATATTGAGATTTTATAAATATGGGTGGAGGGATCACATGGATTCCTAACTTAACAGTACAAGTGGCGAGGATTTTCGTTTATCTTCATGTCCCTTTGGTGTTGCCATCCATGGAATCCTTTTGTCCATTCTTTATTCCCCCTTTATTCTAAACAACGAACGAGATTGTCACTTTGACAATGATAGGACAATGCCAATACATTAGCAAAAAGGACTTGAAAATAAGCTCCCTCCCCCGCCTCCCACTATCACCGCAACACTGAGCAAAGAAAGAGTTGAAAAAGCTGTGATTGCTTTTTGGGAGCCAGGGAAGATGAATCAAAATCTTGGAGCTGGCTTAGTTGCGGTCCTAAAACACACTCGCCCTCCAGTTCGTTCTTTGTGATGAAATCTCCGGTGACGTCGATGTTGCGTGCATCATTTTGTTTGTCCGCTTGCTCTCCAGGGGTCCACAAATTTGTGTGAGTGGTTTCGGGGTCTCACTCACTCACCCCTGATTGATCCTAGTGCCAAAGCTTGGAGAGGAATCCCACTTATAACAAAAATGTTTGGTGATCATGGCTAACTCTCTCTGCCACAAGATGCCCCAAACACTTTGTTGCAATGTACTTGTCAACTTTGTTTCCCTCATCTTTAAAAGGTCTTTTGTTTAATCTTTCCTGCTTGGCAATCCTCATCTTGCTTTGCTCCGCATCTCATCCATACAATACAGGGCACATACATACATAGAAACATGGCGGTACACAAAAACAAAGCTTGAAATTCCCAGGCCAAGGGAATGAGTGCTTGCCTTGTTGCCTCGCAGCAGCATCACTACTAGATTTACTGGGCGAGTTAAAAACAAGGAAATTGTCCAGGAGGGGAAGGAATACGTATCTGCACACGTGTACGTAGATATACCCGTAAAAAGCATCCCCTTGGGCTCGCTTTCACACCGCGCTGCTGTTTGGCAGCGACCTGTCCTTAAAGCCCCCTCTACCTAGGTCGTGTATCCAAGATTTACACTACACTGCTACACTACATTGTTTCTTTCTCGCCTATCTATCTATCTATTTGCTCCGAGGGATTCTCCTCTCTCCATTTTAGGTATCGCGCGCTCGATCCACATCCATCGCCCAAGAGCTCCCGAAATCTCAGCTCGCGACGCTGCGCCAGGTCTCCAGGCTCCATGAGAGAGCTGGAATCGTCCTTCTTTCCCTTGGCCGGAGAGGCGCGCGCGGGGGGCCGAAATATGTCTTAGCTACAGGACGCGCTCTTGGTCTCGATCGGTGGCTCTAAGGCGGCGCTGTGCGTGTGTGTGCTCTCCATCCCTTCCTCCGCCTTGCTTGCGAGCCTAGGATGAGGAAGCAGCAGCAGCAGCAGCAGCAGCAGCGGTGTGGGAGTCACGGCGGCCGCGTGCGAGTAGTCGACGAAGTTCGTGTGCCCAGGGAGACGGAGAGGGACTACCACTGCCTGCGAGCGATCATCATAATCTGAAAGGGGGGGATTCCAGGGAAACGAGGGCGTCGCATTCGCCGGGCTTCGTTTGCTTTTCACTGTTTGCGGAAGCTGGGGGAGTGAGCCTGGTCCTGAGCTGACAGAGGAGAAGCAAGCAAGGCACGCAGCGAGGAGGAAGAACAAAGGGGGCTAGGCTCGCATTTTTGGCATTTTTGGTTTTGCGGCTCATCTCAAGATCATTGTGGAAGATCGTCCCGGATCATCGCGGGCATTGCTATCATGTCGGCGGAGGGTCTGGGCCAGGCTCTCCGGAGTCTTTGCAACAGGACGGGCTGGTGCTACGCTGTGTTTTGGAAGCTAAAGCGACGCAGCCGTATGTGAGTAAATCATCCTTTCGCTTCGCTTGTGCTCTAAAGAGGGAGAGAGAGAGAGAGAGCTCTCTTGCTTGATCTCCTGCTAACTGGAGGTGGCACTGCACTGCCTCTCTTGGGTTTTTTTAGCTACTGTTGACTTAGCTTGTCTCTTATGCGTTTTTTCTCGCTGTGTTTTTATTGCAGGGTGCTGACATGGGAGGACAGCTACTACGAATTCGCGACGCTGCCACCAATCGCCAATGCTTTGAGCCGCAGCGGCGCTGGGAATGGGAGAAGCCCTCTGGACATGCTGCTGCTCAAGCAAGATGGTGGCATTGCCGAAGATCAGATACAGTTGGCTGTCGCTAAAATGTCCTTCCAGGTTTACTCCCTGGGAGAAGGGTACGCAACCCGGTTGTCGGTGTCGTGGCTAACCCAACTTTCCTCTCGGGCAGAATAATTGGGCGTGTAGCTTTCTCCGGAAAGCACCAGTGGGTGTTTGCAGCTGGGGAAAGATCTATGGAAAGCGGAGTACCAGCGGCATTGGAGCACGGCTGGTCGAATCAGTTTGAAGCGGGAATAAAGGTATAGTAGCTTTCATTCGAGGGAGTCCTTAACTCTTTGGTGTGCAGACGATTGCTGTGATAGCAGTCCAGCAGCAAGGTGTTGTGCAACTTGGATCGACTCAAACGGTGTGTAGCTTCTCCCAGCTCTTACTCAAGTAACTGTGTGTGTGCCCTTGCAGATGGCCGAGGATCTGAACTTGGTAGGCCAGATCAGAGCATTGTTCGGAGCATTACAAAGCATGCCTGGGGCATTCGTTCCTGAGTTCACTCCCGATGGACAAGCTGGAAGAGGCCTTTCTGTTGTCCCGAAAGCCATGCCAACGTACGTCAACAAGCCCGCTTCTACGTTGGCAGCATTTGGCTCTTCTGCAAGAACAACCATGAGCAGCCGACCAGCGTGCCCCGTTTCTACGGAGGGAGAACACATGTTGCGTTCAGCGGCCAAAGTTGTTGAGCCTGCCTTCCAACTTTCTACGAGCAGCTGGGCTTCAATGGTAGTTCCATCCATGGGGCAGAAGCCACAGGATATACGCCCCGCCTCTACGGGTCTCTACTCTTCCAGATCTCAGGTCTTCCAGGAAGATCCAGGCCATTTAAGCCGCTTGATCAGCAAAGCTCCTGTGGAGAGTTTCTTTAATTCATCGGAGACAGGGCGGCTATCTAATTTCTCCAGCGAGCTTTCCTACGGACAAAGCATCAGGCACTTCGACTCCAGCGGATGGCCTCCGCCGGACTCCACCTTGCCAGTGTCAACAAGAGATTATGATCAGAACCTGCCGCTGCCAACTTCCTTCGGAGACGAGACAGGGATGATGCGGCCGGGACCAGAAGAAGGATTTGACTACAACAGTTTGTTTAAGGCGTTTCAGAAGGACGACTTGGATGATTTCAACAACTTGTTAGCGTCTCTGAATAAGGAGTATGCGGGAGGCCAAGCCAGCGGTTCGACAACCTGTTCACAGTTCGCTTTTGGGGATGAATTATCCGAGGTGGTGGTTTCTCATTCAAAGTGCGGGCCAAGTAAGGAGGAACTGTACGTGAACATGCCAACACAACCGGTTGAAGACATGAAACCTGCGAAGCTTGCTCTACCCTTTGATGGCGCCACCGCTGCAATGGACAAAACCCGCGATGCATTTGTCAATCTGTCGGCGGACAGGCCAGAGCAGCTGTTGGATGCTGTTGTTGCCGGTGCGAGTACGTCGTCACTGGGTTCCAGGGGACCGACGTCTGCCAAGAGTTCGTTAGGATGCGCTCCCGCGCTAACTGTTGGGAACGCGGTGCAATATCTGGAGAAGCAGCTATCGAGCTCTTCGAGTTTGGACAGAGATATAGCTGCCAACTGGCCTGCAAGCAGTGTGTCCGTGGATGTTTCTTCAAGCTCTTGGACCGAAGGGAGCCAGGCTAAGAAGTCGGAGGAACACTCGTACAAGGATACTAGCGGAGCGGCAGCCAGAAAGCAGGAGGAGCCTAGTCGGATGGCTGGGAGGAAGAGGCTGAGGCCAGGGGAAGCTCCAAGGCCCAGGCCCAAAGACAGGCAGCAAATACAGGACAGAGTTAGGGAGCTTCGCGATATTGTTCCCAATGCAACAAAGGTAAGCGTCGTCCTTCATGCAGTAAAATGGATGTTCACCTTCTACTTGTTTTGTGTGTAGCAGTGTAGCATTGATGCGCTGCTAGAGAAAACAATCCGGCATATGAAGTTTCTCCAAAGTGTGACGCAGCACGGTGACAAGTGGAAAGCTGGAGGCGACGTAAAGGTGAACGAAGGCCGTGTCTTTGCATCGAATATCGTCTAATTTGGACAACTTAACAGGGAGAGAGGAGTGCAGAGAACAGCAGTGGCTTGGAGAACGGTGCAAGCTGGGCTATGGAGCTTGATGCGAAAGGAAGTGGCGTTCCGATTCTTGTGGAGAATCTCAAGCAGCCACGGCAAATGCTTGTTGAGGTTGGTGAATCAGTACTTAATATATTGTCGTCGGCTGATTTCTCGTGCTCTCTCAGATGTTGTGCGAGGAGAGAGGCTTATTCTGGGAGATTGCTGACAACATCCGGGGTCTTGGGCTTACAATCCTGAAGGGTGTGATGGAGTCGCGGAACGATAAGATTTGGGCTCGTTTCAACGTTGAGGTAGAAGAAGCGATTCTTTTTCTTCTTTTCCTTGCGTTTGGTGTGTAGCTAAAACTCGACATACAGGTTCACGCTGCGAAAGAAGTAAACCGGCTCAAGGTGGTTTGGAATCTCACGCAGCTGCTTAGACCCAGCGGCAAGAACACGAGCGCGCCAAGCTTTGTGGGATCGGAGATGTCGGACGTTTGCTCCGAGTCATTTGGAAGCCGATTCCAGCCTCAAGTTGTTGCTTCGCACGGCATTACCGTGTCCCCTGGTAGCGCCTGGTGACAAATGTGAAGGTGGTGTTGTTATTATACACTATGTTATTTACATAGCATAGATCTATTTTTCTTCCTTGTACACCATTGCTTGAGAAAAATCGAAAGTTGCAATTCTTCCTTGTGTTTATATAAAGCATCGTAACTCGAGCATAATGTCTGGACTCCCTCCACAAAATATTAAAGGCCCCAAAATAAGAGGCGCCAAACTGCCAGAACCAACGGCCAGGATGGAGATCGCCGACGTGGCGGGTTGCGATGTCATTGGCTGGGAGGTCGATCCTCGTCGCGCCGCGAGAGCCAATGGGAGCGCAGGAATCAGGTGTTTATAAGATTTTCACGGAGCTAGGGGTTTCCATTGGCGAGCAATCTTCCTGGTCTGTGCGAGAGGAGTAAGTGGTAGCGCTAGCTCTCAAATCAGTAGGCAGAGCGTCTCTTTCTCTCTGTCTCTCTCTCTCTCTCGGATTCGCAAGCGGCGGAGCGATGGCCAAGGCAGCGGAGAAGAAGCCTGTAGCTGAGAAGGTCCCAGCGGAGAAGAAGGCGGCGGAGAAGAAGCCGCGGGCGGAGAAGAAGACCCCGGCCAAGGATCCATCGGCGGCGGCGGACAAGAAGAAGCGCAAGATGAAGAAGAGCGTGGAGACGTACAAGATGTACATATACAAGGTACTCAAGCAGGTCCACCCCGAGACGGGCATTTCGAGCAAGGCCATGGGGATCATGAACAGCTTCATCAACGACATCTTCGAGAAGCTAGCGCAGGAGGCCTCGAGGTTGGCTCGCTACAACAAAAAGCCCACAATCACCTCGCGGGAGATCCAGACGGCGGTTCGTCTCATCCTTCCCGGCGAGCTCGCCAAGCATGCCGTGTCCGAAGGGACCAAGGCCGTCACCAAGTTCACGAGCTCTTGAGCTTGTTCTTCCTGCTTTTGCCTCTCCTTTCTTTTTCCTATTAATCTAAGTGTCGTTGTAACTCCTGTATACTTGATCTTCAATGGTGAAACTTTTTTTTTCCAACAGTCAATGTGTTCTACAATGGTAGTTTTCTAAGTTTGCTCGCGCTGGAACGAGTCTAGCACAGTGAGAAATGTGAAGTATATGTATATACATCACGTCGAGATCGAGAGGGAAAATCGCAAGTACCACCTATAGTTATCAAAACAAGTAAAGCCATCCTTGTTGCCCACGAAACAAACCATCTCGAGTCTCCCGGTCTCTTGTCATGTACATGTTGCTGTGGCCTCGAAAAACGAGGAAAAAAGATGGAAAAAGAAGAGCTTTAATCTGTTTTTCAGCGTCACCCTCTTCTGAAACTGTTGTGCTGCCTCAGATAATTATCGGCAGTCTTTCTCTCGGCTTCCGCTTCGTACCTCCCACGCCTGCCTGGCTTGTTGTTATCTCTCGTCCCTCTCAAATCACTGCCTGCTCTATTATGACCATCCAGCCGTGACGACGAGCTTGGCAACGTCGGCTCCCTGAGAACCTGACTTAAAACCCCGTCACTGATGAGGCCCTTCTCCACTGCTGCAGCCGAGGTGATGAAACAGTTCCTCGACTTTGCATCTTCTATGAGCTTAGCCCAATCTTCAGACTGCTCCAACGTACCGGCATTGCCTATAACCTGCGCAGCGCATGCATGGCTTCAGCCAGGAAAAAGTGATAAAAAAATACAAAATCTTACCCATAGCGATCGACGAGCTCGAGTCAAAGCCACGTTCATCCGCCTTATGTCCGCTACGAATCCCACCCCGTGGTTAGAAGCTCGGACGCAAGACATTATAATCACGTCCCTTTCCTGCCCCTGGAATGCATCCACCGTGTTGATGTAAACTCCCTTGGCATCACCAGAGAGAGACTCGAATTCCCTCTGTATGCACCTCAGTTGAAGCTTGTAAGGAGATATGACACCCACGGTCGCCTGCTGCCTCCCTGCCGCCTTCAAAACACCTTGGAGGTGGTCATACAGCTTGGCTGCAAACTTGGCCTCGACAACATTCTGAAACGAGACCGAGCCGCTGATGTGCGACTCCTTTCCGTGGCTCACGTCGAAAAAGAGGTAAGGCTGCAGCAGCGGGTCATGGTGGTAAATCTCGTCCGGCAAGCCCTTGACGCTGTCACTGTCCTGGAGACGGCCCTGATAAAAATGCCGAGATGGAAAATCCCGAATTTGAGGATGCATGCGATACTGGACTGTCAGCATGAGCGTCGGACATCCCGCTTGTTGAAACCGCTCGAACAAGCTTCGCGAATACTGCATGGTGTCAGCCACCCGGCTAATGACAGTCGCTGGGAGCTGCTGCGGATCACCAACCAGGACACAGCGGGCTGCTCCAAGGATGAGTGGAGGTAGCACGCCTAGTTCGCTGGCTTGTGCTGCTTCATCAATAACCACGATGTCAAAACCACGGGCCAGATTGGTGAAGAGTTTACGACCGCTGCTGGAAACTGTGGTGAACACGATCTCCGCCTCATTCGCAAAGCTCGCTTCGAGCTTGCTCTTCGCGTCCTCGAGACCATATCCACCACCCGGCTTATGAAGGTTGTCGACAATCACAAACCGGGACATGTCAACCAGCACCTTATCTCTTTCTTCCAGCAGCGATGCCAGCTGCTGCAGCTTCATGTCTCTGGCCTGGTCGCGGGCCGTAAGCACCTCGGGCTCGACACCGACTGCGCCCTGGACCCGACTGGCATTTAAGTCCTTTTGTAGCACCGCTATATGCTGTGATAGAGCATACTCCCGCAGCCGCATCCGCTGAAGCCACTCTAAAATCTCGTCCCGCCCTTTTCCAATGAGCGACTCCGTTCTCTTTTCCACGGAAACTGCCTGCGCTGCCTTGGACTGCGGATCTGTTCCCACGCGAGCCACGTCAGGCCGATATACCCTCATCTCGCCGTCCATAAAACCTTTGTCCAGCACACGAGAAAGCAGCTCATCTGTTGCTGCATTCGAGGGAGCACAGACAAGCATCCGGGGCTTCGGGCAAAGCTTTGGAAGCTGCCGGAGGAGACTCTTGTCCATCTTCTGCAAAACCTCATCAATCCACCCTCCCTGCTCGTCATCGCCAGCAGCAGCATCCGAGACTACTGCACCAGGTGCAATTTTCTTGAGGAGAGCGGTGTAGTACCTCTGATACTGCACAAGGTGGATAGCATTCAGCATCCCCCAGACCGTATGTGTTTTCCCTGTCCCAGGCGGCCCTTGCACCAGGCTAAAAGGCCATATTTCCTGTGATCTCGTAGCTGCAGCAGTGCCGGCAGCCGTGTGCATAGCCGCCCATTGTATAGCCGACAGTTGCGGAGCATTGAAATTGTTGCGCAAGTACTCAGTAAACCCTGGAGTGAAACAGCTAAGCATAACCGCTTGCTCCTGGTCATAACGAGGAAATAGCTCGGGCCGTGGCTGCAATATCGCCTTGAGCATCTGTGAATGGACCACTCGTAAAATCCATGAAAGAACCAAGAAAACAATTTACCTGAGGGTGCAGGCGGTAGAGAGCATGAAGGGCAACATATTCACGTTGTGTAGTCGCAAGGCCGCCTAAAACAGTGAACGACCATACACCACCTTGACGCAGGTCGTCCAACAAGTGATTGGGGTAGCCACCTCTTCAAACAAAACCGAGTTAGACAACGATAGGAAAGTTTAGCTCAAACGGAAATAACTCACCCATTATCTCCGTTGAATTCGGAAAAGTTTATGAACATAACAGCTCCATGGGCGTCACGAACGTCAAGCGGCATGTACCGGCGGGCAATACCAGCAATGTGAATCGATATTTCGCCTTCCTCTTTGGCATCTTCGCTGCCATTCTTGCGTTGAGCGTCTGTATTATAAGCACCAGCTTAAAGCTCAATTTCTCTTGAGAAAGACAAATGACACACTACCTTGAGGCGGTGTCGACAAAACTGCCACGTCGCCTTCTTTGAAGTTAAAGCGAGTACGAGCGTCCATAGGAAGTAAAGTGACATCGTACCATCCTGGTAACAAATGTTTAGTTACCCTGCATCAGAATCAGAACCAGAATCACAAGGCACATACCTCTGTCGCGTTTATCAACTGCTTTGATCATCGCGGAAGTGTGTACTTCCTTTCCTGAGTCACGAAGCTCCTCCCAGACATTGAACAGCTGTGCCCGGCACTCTTCAAACAGTAGTGGTTCGAATACTTGTACGTATTCTTCTAAAGATGCAAAGCTTCCTGGAACGCGCTGCAGCTCTGTCTCCGCTGGTTGGCCTGCACAGACTTCACACCGTCAAAAATCCATCCCAGATACGTAGTCCTACACGCCCAAGCAGGTTTGATAACTACTCTGTGCGATCAGCCCAAACAGCAGCGCTGCAATTTTCATTGAGCAAAATCCCTTGCTCTTCCACGTCCGATGAACCTTTTGGTGGACTTGCATATAAAGAGCGGCAGCTGCTTGCCATGTTACACACACAGTCGACTCAAAACTGTAGAAAAACAGTACGTGAGTAAGCATAACACTGACAGAAACTATGAAGCATCTAGCGTCATAATGTTGCCAGCATCTGACTTAGTCAGCGACCCTAACCATTTTCTCTCTTTCGAAGAAGAAAAGGACAGGAAAAACCAAGGCCAAAAAAAAAAGAAAAAAGAAAAACAGGAACCGTATTACCGGAGAATATAACAAACCTGATTGTTGCCACAGCTTGCTGCAGGTAGCCTCTCGATGGAGCCTTTCAATAGACGCGTCCAGAGGTTGAGATGCTGCAGCAGCACGCTTGAATGGAGCTTGTCTCCTAATTGGTGCGCGCTCTTCACCTCCATTCCCTCCATTCTCACCATGCTGTCGTCGAACATTCGGCCTCTGGAATTGCGGCTTAAGCTGCGCATCTCGGGGCCTCTCTTTGGCATCGAGGGATCCATTACAGTTGTCGTCCTTGTTGGTCTCGAAGCACGACTCCACATTCTCTCTGGCTTCTTTAAGCTGTTGCCGAACTCCTACGCTCCGCACAACCGGTGTCGGGACTTTCGGCGGACGCGCTATTTGCAAGGACTCGTCTAACTCCAGCACCATCGTCTGCCTCGTACGCTTCTTGCCCAGCTTCTCATCGTTCTTGGCTACAGCAGCTTGCCTGGGGAGGGTGGTGACCGCTTTTCTCTGGGGGGCTGGCGTTGGCGTCTCGGGTGGTCGAGTACTGTCGGGTGGCCGAGTACTGTCGGGTGGCCGAGCACTACTTTCCACTGCTTTACTACAAACAGCAGCGCTTGTATCTTCCGGCGGCTCCATGAAGTTGTCCGACTGTTTCTTGGCCAGCCTCGCGCTCCTCCGCGCCTTTTCTACCTTGACGGGTGGCTTGTCACCGCTGCTCGAGGAAGGGCATGCCGCTTGTCCCGCCGTGTCGGCATCAGGAGCCTTGGGCGATGGAGGCGGTAAATTCAGATCGAGCTCCATCGTCCTAGAACTTGTAACTACTACTAGTAATAATCCGGCATCACATAATAGGGTCACCTAGGGTTATCCTCGTCGGCCACAACGCAATACGTCTCGCACCTGGACAAACTTCCAATCCACCACTCCTGCTCCATCCTAATCCACCACTCCTTCTCCATCCTGACCGCCACCGCCGCCCCTCCGCCCGCCCGCCCGCCGCTCCTCCAATCCCTCCGCTCTCTCTCAACTTCGCTGACTTGCTCCTCTTGGTGGAGGCGAGCACAGCGCTCTAGAATTCTTCCTCAGGCTCTCTCTTGTCTCTGGGAGAGAGGGGCAGCCGCATTTTATAGGTAAGAGAGCAGGGCCCTTGCGTCCACCGTAATTCTCACCCTGTCGCCAATGCCCTCTCGCCACGTGTCCACGGGAGAAAGCCACTGGATTGGATTCGGGCCTGGGGATCCGACGGTGGACGTTCAAGTCTGTACGTATATATAATATAGGTACGAACTCCTTTACTTATTACAAAAGTACGTGGGGGGGTCATTGACTTGTCAAGGTCCGAGTGGGGAGGACGAGGACGAGGAGATTTTGGAGCTGGCGGCACGGCGTTGGAGTGACGCCGAGAGAGGCTCCTTTGACGTTGGAGCAGTCCCACTTGGATCCCTGCGAGGCGTCGTCAACCTCGAGAGTTATGTTGGACAAGCATATGTCCTCAAACGGGGCCGCCTCCAAGCCTCTCAGGCTTCCGGCGTGGGAGATGTTCCGGCCCCAAACCTTGTTCACGTAAATCCCTCTCACCACCGGGTACGCCAGCGGGTCGTAGCCCTCGTCAGGATGCTCGCTGCTACTGTTGCCGCTCAAGGCGATTGCCGTGAGCACACTGTCCATGGTGACGTTGGTGACCGAGATGTTCTTGACGTAGCCTCCGCGGCCCGCCCCAGTCTTAACGTGGACTCCGATCTTTGAGTTGAACACTCGAACGTCCTCCACCACCACATTCTTTATCCCGCCCGACATCTCACTGCCAAAGGCGATGGCGGCGCTGGCGGGTGCCTGGGCCGTGATTCGCCGGATCACGACCTTGGCACTCGGGAGCCCAACCCGGATGCCATACTCGTCCCAGCCGCTCTTGACCGAGACAGCGTCGCCGCCGCTGGTTATCGCACAGTCCTCAATGCAGACGCCGGTACAAGAATCTGCACAGGGCACGTGTTTATCTGGATTAGAATCAGAGAATGGAAAATGGATGGATGGATGGAGTTGAGTGATCCATCCCACGAGATCAACAACCAGAAGCCCATGCAAAGAGCACAGGGTGGGAGCTCACGTAATGAAACCCACAGTCAAAATAGTAGTAAACCCAAAAGATGCTATACCTGCATCTTGCCGGTTCCTTAAACAACAGTGCCTCGCTCCTTTGGGCCTGGGTTACCATCTAACTCACTGTTAGCAAGAGCTCTGTTTCGAAACAGCCAAGGGTTCGAAAACAAGCGACAAAATTCCAGCAAGGAATCGCTAACGTAGAAGAAGCAGCAACTAAGTAGTTGTGTGAAAAAAAGTCAGAGTCGAGAACCATGGTCCACTCCCATGGTTGCTCAAGTACGTGAAAAGCCTGGATAAAGTACAGGGTTGTCAAGAATTGTTACCTGGTTGGACACCATCAGTGTTGGGTGACTCCGAAGGGGCAACCACGGTCACGCCTCTGATGACAACATTGCTTTCAAAACCAGAAACCAACAACACGCGGTAACTCGTTAGAGCAGGAAAAAAAAAACTTAAAAAAAAAATTTCCAGGACTCTAGCAGAAGTGCCACTACACCTATCAGACAAACCTGCAATAAACAGGGTGGATGGTCCAGGATGGTGAATTCAGGAGACTAATATTTGACACCACGATGTTTTTCGAATTGATGAACTCCACCAAGTGGCCCCTTGTATAATTCAGGGACTGATTACGGAACCAGTGCCACCACACCGATCCCTGCCCGTCTATTGTCCCATTTCCACCTGTGACAGAGCAACTGTGCTTCACACAAGAAAAGCGAGGAGGATACAGTATCTCACCTGTAATCACTACATCTTCCAGATCCTTGCCATAGACTAGACTCCTGTGCCTCCGACCCGGGAGGTCCCTGCCCCTCCCGTACGACGGCAATGGATCTATTAAAGGCCAGTCGTGTGGATCCTACCGAATCGAAGAAACAAGCAAGCAGAGTGAGCGACATCCAATTGGCCGACCTCACCTGAGAGGCGAGGATGACGGAGCCCGTGTCGAGAAAGAGCGTGAGGTGACTGATGAGCGTGAAGCTGCCCGTTAGCCACCTGCCGGCGGGCACGTAGAGTTGCGCGCCACCCTTGTGAGCAAACGACTGCAGATAAAAGACGGCATTCTGAAACGCCACCGTGTTCACGGTTTGCCCATCCCCGACAGCTCCGAACTCTGTGATGGACACACTGTGCGGCCTCGCAACGCTTCTGCGGTTGCCGCGCCCGCAGATCTCCTCCACGTCCAATCGGCCGGACGAGCTCGGGCAATCGCCCCAAGACTCTATCACCATCATACCTACAAGAATGGCCAGCGCGTCGAGCTTCACAAACCACCACATCTCTGGCGCCCTCGATCCCCCGCCCCGAAGACCTAGCAGCAGCAATGCAGCAGAGCTGGATTGGTTGGCGATGCCAAAATCATGGCGATGCTAATCGGGGCCGCCGCGGGGAAGCCAAAACTACTGGCCGTGATACTCTGCCGACCGCACAGTGACCGATCTTGATCCGCCTCCTCGCCCGCGACCGCACACTCTTCCATGTCTCGCCGCTGTGTGTACTCACATCTCCTGGAAGGAATTGTTGGAGCGTGGCACCTGCTAAATGCGGCCACGGAGCCTGGAAACTTACCGATTTGAGGTGGAGAGGATGAGCGCTGCCGCCGCAGAGGGTGTGAAATGGAGGTGGATCCAGCGCTGGGCACATCCCCCACCCAGATTGCTCGCCTCGCCTCGCCCGCGTTTCCGGAGCAGACGTGCCTGTTGCTCAAGCTATTTTCTTCCATTTCCACGTCAAGGGAATATTTAACAAAGAGTAATGGGCTGGCAACCGGCAATGGCCGGTTGCACGTAATCCATTGGTGCGCCACAAGCCCGCCAGCCACCGGCTCTAGGCCGTTGCGCCTGACCGACACCTTGGAGCTCCAGCTGGCTTGCTGGCCTCTGCTAAATTGGACTCGCCTCGTTGATGTGAAAGCTTGGTTGGGCCACAAGACGCCACCAGCCGAGTGAATGGAGAAACCGTCACAGATGATTAGAGGATTAGAGGACGATTACATCACGCGAGAGCAACAAGAGAATTTGCAGAACTGGGGAGGAGATAACTAAACTATTTCCTCCCCTCATCCAGAATGATGCACAAAAACAAAAAAAGAAAAAGTAGGAGAGATTGGATTGGGCATTTGGAATTTGGAAGCAGGAACATGGGCCATGCAGCTAAAAGTCATATGCTCCCATGTGCCCTCATCACATTCGTTAAGCGTAACTTACGCGAATGAATGGCATTGTGACAAAACACCCAGTTTCCTAGGTAGCTTTGTTTTCAGAGGGGGGCTGGCTATAGAGGCGACGTATCACTTTTGCAGCCACATCAATACCATTTGCGCCTGGAGAGACGGTCCAAAGCACTGCGCCCTTGTGAGACAAAATCTGGTGCACGACGTCCCGCCGGGGACGACAGCGCGAGTTGTCTCCAGTATGTAGCACGAACTGCCTGCGTCGCCTTTTCCCTGTACCAAAACCCCCCACACATCTACGCTGCTACCATCGCCATCGCCATCGCCGCCGTCCTTTGTTGACTGGGCGTTGCCGGCGGCCTTGTCACGTCCACACGACCGGGTCAAGTCGAACGATCTCCGGAGGCAGAGGCTATCTTGCATGGGGCATTGGCCAGCAGCAGACAGCGATCGTGCGTCGCGAACCAGTCTGGATGTTTGCTCGTCAAGCTTCCGGACGAGGATTAAACCGTCCGGAGACGCAGTCGTTACAGACTCCCTCACGTAGTTCCAGCACTCGGACGGGGTATGCTCCAAGGCACTCGGAGGAACCCTGCGCCTCTGCGTCCTAATGCCCTTCGAATCGAATATGTACTGGAGGAATGGTGCCTCCCGAATGTTCTTCACTATCTGGCAAGCCGGCCACCATATAATTATCAGCATACATCTCAGGACAGCGTCAAAAGAGAAACATTACCTCGACTATGTGATCTTGCACCCACTTGTCTAACGTCCTCATGTCCGAGCATGGCTGTGACAGGGACAAAGGCTGCAACCAGAAGCTACTCCTGTCAATGGGAGTCGAACAGGATGCGCTTTCCACCGCGTCAAACACCAGGTTCCCAGCGTTGCAACCCGTGGTGGCTCTAGTCCTAGTGGCTACTCTAAGAGAATCGAGCCCCCTCAATCTGCCGGGCCGAGCAAAGAATGATATCGCGCATCGATCGTCGTTCCTAAGCACTACCTGGCTGCTGCTGCTGCTGCTACTGCTGCTGCCGAACGCAGCGGCAAGATTTCCCGCCACCGCTGCGGAGGACGCCATTCTTCTTGGGGCTGCAGCGATCCCGCGTTTGTTTGACTGCTTTAGGGCTTTGTAGGCCAAGAAGGATGATTCGAGATTACGAAAAAGGGTGACAGTTGGAATGTTTATGTGCGTCGATTCCACGTGTGCTGGATGCAACGGCTGAGATGACTGACGTGGCCGTTACACGAGAGGCCACACGGCTAACACGTGCTGATGAATGCCATGTCATTTGCACGTGTTAACCGTGTGGTTTCCCCTTAAAATTCATTAAGCTGTGCAATGTGGCGCCTGCGTGGCAAAAGAAAAGATGATGTGGCATTAGGGCTAAAAAGAACAATTTGACCGCCCGTTTTGTTTAAGCATATGTTTATAGTGGTCAAAAATGGCAAGTAAAATAATATTTTCGTTAGAGATGTAAAAAGTAAATTTACCAGGGGAGATATTTTGGTTGCTACATGAAATTGATATACCACCTGCAGACTTCTTTAATCAGGTGGTGGTTGGGAAATGGCGCATGGACACGTTCAGCGAAACAAAGTCTTCTGTGATTTATTCCATTCTAACCATCGGCATGCGCTTTACGTTCTAGCTGGGGACCCGGCAGTTTGAGCGGATGATTCCATTGGGCGTGGTGAGGGGGCTGATGTTCCCCATGTTGATCATGGATCCCGCGAAGTTGCTGAAGAACTTGGACTGGTCGGAGCTGTAGGCCTTGACAAAGTTCCTGGCAGTCCCGACGGTGGTAGAGAGGACCTGGTCCGAGTTAAGCAAGCCCCTGCCCAGGAGGAGGTTGGAGTAGTACTGGTTATCAAAGGTGGTGGCGGTTGCCACGTCCAGAGGCTGTAGCGCGGTGGCGTCCCCCCCTTGAGGACATGCCGACTGAAGAGACTTCAAGAATCCCTGCCTGATGCTTGGGTCCGGTTGCCCGCTGCCACTGTTGTTGAACAGTCGGCCGCTGAAGCTGCTGCACTTAGCCTGCCCGATTGTGTGAGCCCCTGCATATCCATAGATGCCGTTTCCATAAGATCCTGATGCGACTCTAATGAGCTTGCACTTGCCTGAGAGGGTGAACATGTCCTCCGCTGACAGGCCTTTGGCCGTGAATGCGGATATGAGCTGATTAACGGTGAAAGCAGGGGATGGAATCTGTGAATTAGCTCCGCTCAGGCTGGCCGTGGTACTGTCTCGACGCCCCAGCCTCACATCCCAAGAAGGTCCTCCCGTCTGCAAAAGCTTGCGAATCATATATTGATCCCAATACGAGAGATAAATTCGCTTACGATGACACTGGAATCACGAGCCGCAATGGCGAGGATGTCTGCGCACGACACGACTCCCTTGCAGCTGCTCTCCAGAGACGTTTTGATCGTGTCGATGACCTCGAAGCCTCGGAGTGAATTGTTGTTTGGACCGGCAGTCTTCTCCCCAGTAAAACTCGACGTATCATCCAGCAGCACCGATGCATCACACCCCTGAGGAACAAAAAATACTGATTCAACGAATTGACCAGTGGCACTCACTTGAACAAAGCAATCATGGAAATGGAGCCTTATCAACGACGCCGGCAATCTCGAGTCCTGCTGCGTCGCTTTGGAAACCTCCGACTTGACTATGGATTCAGCGTTTGGGCATGAAGACGCATAGAAGCCCGTTTGAAGCTGGCATCGCCCCACGGACAAGAAGAAGAAGAAGAAGACGTAAGACATGAGGACAAATCCCACCGAAGTCATGGCTTCTAAAATGTCGCAACACTCGAGCTTTTCTCCGAGATGGTCCCAACGCACTGATATGCCATCGCTTTTATAGCGAGAACTCACAAACGTCCCCCTCTAGATAGCTAACTCTCTCCTTCCTCCTATGGTTGGGTACTACTAGACCATCAGGCAACCAACAGCCTCTCTCTTGTTCACAACAACAGGTGATAGCTTTTACCTTCTCCGCCGAGCTGAGTAGTTTTTAACTGAACACATTCTCGAGTTGCCAATGTTCACTCATCAAACTTAAACTTTGAGAAGTAGAAACAAGATGAGAGAGCTTCAAAATGGAACACTCCCAACAGTCAATGATGGATGAGATCAACAAGGGGTGAAACCTGTCAAAAATCCATCTTCTTGTTACAAAGAGCTTTAGCGACACCACAACTACTTTGGTGGGGCTAAAACGTTCGTAGCATCTCGAACCTCGATAGTCGGTTTGGAGGATCGGATTTTGGGAAGTATAAGAGGCGAGTGGACCAGGCCGCCTTTAAGCGCTTCTCGCTCAATCAATCAGAGGCTTCCCAAGCACATACGTCATTGTAAATGGCCGCTCAAAGTTGCGATCAAGCCATTTTTGACCCATATCCCTGCACTGTCATGACATGGCTCTACCGCCCAAGAGCTCCCGGCTGGTGGATGTTGATCTCGAGGTGCTCGAGGACAACCCAGGTAAGGCTACGTATGCATCGCTTCTCCGGCAATGTGGGCGCTCCAGGGCGCTGTGGGCGGGCAAACAGGTTCACTCGCACATGATAGCGAGGGGGCTGGACAGAGACAAGGTGCTGGGTGATATCCTCGTCCAAATGTATGGAAAGTGTCGTAGCCTCGGCGACGCAAGGGATGCCTTTGAGCGGCTGGCATACAGAGACGTCTACTCGTGGAGCATCATCATCGCAGCATTCGCCCAGAATGGGGATATTGATATGGCACTTGGGCTATACGAGCGGATGCAAGAGGAGGGCGTGCAGCCCGATATGTTCGTCTACTCAAGCGTTGTGGGAGCCTACTGTGCAGTGGGCGATCTCCAGCGAGGGCAAGAGATCCACAGGAGAATCGTCGACAGTGGAATGACTCCAGATGTTGTGGTGCACAACTCGCTCGTTAACTTGTATGCCAAGTGCGGCCGCATCGATGACGCCAGGAGTCTGTTTGATGGGATGCAAGTGAAGAGCCTCGCCTCCTGGAACGCAATGATCGCCGGATATGCACACCTGGACCTCGGGGACGAGGCCTTTGATCTCTTTCGCTGCATTGACCTCGAGGGCCTGGGTCCGGACATGTTGACGTTCATCAACTTGCTGGGGGCGTGCTCCACTCCGGAGTTTGTAGACGCCGGAAGAAATATTCATGCTCGGGTGGCGGCTCTGGGCTTGGATTCTAACCTTGTGCTTGCCACTGCGCTGCTCGACATGTACGCGAAATGCGGGAGCATCGAGGGTGCCAGGAGTGTGTTTGCAAGCATGGCTGACAACAAGAACCAAGTATCTTGGAACGCCATGATCGCGGCACGGGTTGAGTATGGCCACCCTGACGAGGCCATGTATCTCTACCACCAGATGCATCTCCAAGGCTTGAAGCCAAACGCTTTCACGTCGGCCAGCGTCCTTGGTGCTTGCGTCTGCGTGGAGCAGGGCATGCAGATCCATTCCTGGGCAATGTCGTGCGGATTCGAAGACGATCCGGTGGTGAGGACTGCGCTGGTGAACATGTACTCCAAGTTTGGAAGGCTGGAAGAAGCGGCAAAGGTCTTTGCCGACGGGCAGGGCTTCCAAAACGATCCTGTTGCGTGGAACGCGATGATCACCGCCTACACGGAGGCCTGGCTCCCCAGCGAGGCACTCGGCCTGTTTGACGAGATGCGAGAGCGATCAATAGCGCAGGATGCGGGGACGCTGATTGCCGCTGCAAATGCGTGCTCAGTCCTGGGGGACTTGTCGGCTGCTAGAGCCGTCCATTCCGCTGCGCGACGCAGCGGCCATGACTCCATCGTGCTGCAGAACTCGATCATCAACATGTATGCTCGATGCGGGAGCTTGGACGAGGCGCGAGCCTGTTTCGACAGCATGCCGCGGCGGAGTGTGGTGTCGTGGAACGTGTTGATGAGCGGCTACGTGGAGCAGCAGCAAGGCGAGGAGTCACTCAAGCTCGTCCGGTGCATGGACTGGCAGGGCATCCATCCCAACGCCTTCACCTTCAGCTGCGTCGCCACCGCTTGTTCGTTGCTCAAGGACCTCCGGGCGGGGCGGGCGGCTCACTCCCGGATCGTTGCCAGCGGCTTCGACACCGACAGGGTGGTGGTGACGGCGCTGATGGACATGTACGGGAGGTGCGGGAGCGTGGAGGCGGCGAGGAGGACGTTCGACGACATGAGGCGGCGGTGCTCGACTCGAGTGGACGTGGTGTCGTGGAACGCCATGATGGGGCTCTACTCGCATCACGGGCAGCCGCGGGAGGCGCTGGAGCTGTTTGGCGAGATGGGCTTGGCGGGGGAGGCGGGCAACGAGGTGAGCCTTACGCTGGTGTTGCATGCGTGCACCCATGCCGGCCTGGTGGCGGATGCGGTCGAGGCGCTGGCGCGCGGGGTGGAGGCGGGCATAGTGCCCAGCCGGGAGCACTACGCGTGTGTTGTGGACGTTTTGGCACGGGCGGGGAAGCTGGAGGTGGCGGAGGAGGTGATGAACAACATGCCCGTGGAGCCGGGCATTGGGGCGTGGAAGTGCCTGCTGGGGGCGTGCGCCGTGCACGGAGACGCGGGGAGGGGATCCAGCGCCGCGCAGCATGTGGTGGAGATGCAGCCCACCAATGCGGCGCCCTATGTGCTGCTCTCCAACATCGCCAAAGCTCCAAAGCCCTAACCTGTGGGCGATGGCAGACGGCGCGGACGACGATTTGGAGCCGCTGTTTGATTACCGCCGCGAGCAAGCAGGCCGCGACGAGAGTGAGTGTCGCCCATCTCCTGCTCTTCTTCGTTTCACTTTGGTGCGTTGTTTGCAGGCAGCGATCAAGAAGAAGAGCCCGAGCACGACAACATGAGGTTGTCTTCAGCCAACTTTACGGTGCGGCAGGCAACCGCGTCGCCTGCCACGACACAGCAGCAGCAGCAGCAGCAGCAGCTGACGCAACGGCAGCGTGTAGTGGAGGAGGACAGGGAGTGGGATAGGAGTTGGTTACCTCCGCCGCCCAAGCTGACCAAGAAGGTGACAGCCACCACAAGTTTCCACGGCGTCAGGTTCGTGATTTTGTTTATTTCTGGATACATGTTCGAGACGGATGCCTGCCTTCAGCTCGCTTCTGAGAGCCAAGCAAGCGGAGCTGCTGTCCCTGTCGCAAAAGGCCTGCGAGGACATTGACGAGCTGGACCGGCGAGCCAAAGCTTACACTCCTGCGCAAGCCGCGGACAAGATCGTGGTTAGAGTCCAAGATAGTTCCGGTGGCATTCAGTGTATTCGCATGGGAATGGTGGGTGGCGACAGGAATAGTTTTCTCTCTTGCGCAACTTAATCCATTTTTGTATTCCAGGATGATAGGCTCGACAAGCTGTTTGATGCATATTCCACTGCCGCAAAGGTGTCCGTGTCGGGCTTGGTCTTTTGTTTCGATGGCGAGCAAGTACAGGGGAGTGCAACGCCAAGAAGCATGAATCTGGAAAACGAGGACATGTTGGAGGTGTCCGGGCAATCATGCTCGCGGGACAACAGCGACCACAACTCACAGCGACAGCAACAACAACAACAACACAAGATCGTGCTCAAAGTTCAGGACAAGTCGGGCGGGATTCACTCCTTCCGTATGGGAATGGTGAGGTGTTTTTTTTTTACTGCTGTACCCATTCATAACTTTTGCTTCCAGGATGACAGATTTGAGAGGCTGTTTGCTGCGTATGCAAGCACCACAAAGACATCCAAATCGAACTTGGTGTTCCGTTTTGACGGGGAACAGTTGCAAGGCAATGCCACTCCCAAGAGCCTGGATATGGAGGACGATGACTCAATCGAGGTGTTCGTCAGGTCTTAAAAAACGTGTAAAAGGTAGAAAAGGGAAATCAGCAGCACGTTAGGCGTGTCCAAAGGAGGTAACATCTTGTTTGTTCACTCACAGGCTACTTTTCGTGGTGCTCTGTTAGTGGGATGGGATTTGGGATTCCTCGTGCGTTGATCGTCAAATCCCTTCGCTTCCTTCCACCTGTGTGGATCCCGTGCATGCTACTTGTGCGTGGTGCTTGGTGACAAAGTCGTGATAGTTGCACCAAAACTAAAGGTGAATCACTTGGAGCACTGCGCACGACGAAAGGGACGGACAGCATAGAAAGGACATGGACAAGGAACGCCCCAGCTCCAATTTTTGACAAAGCTGCTGTACCGAATGAAGTGAATCGAATCAAGGAGAATCGTTTTTCGCTGGTGTAAGTTGGTGGGGAGGCAACTAACTCTCTAATAATCGCTACGTAAACTCGTACGACTTGAATGCAAAGCAGACAAGCATCTCTTGCTAGAAAGCCTTGTCTATATCCCATGCCCATTTACACCACTTTGCTTTATTTTGCTAACAACGGAGGTGCGTCCATGCTTTGCGGCAGTACGGCAGGTGATGGATGGGGGGAGAGAGAGAGAGAGAGAGAGGCGTTTCACAAATGCCGCCGGTGCCGACAGAGAGCGAGAGGGCGAGAGGGCGATGGGAGGGCAAGGAGTATTTGTGACCTGCCAGTCGAAACTAGCAAGCAAGCAAGCAGCAGCAAGAAAGCGGTTTCTTCTGCTTCTCTCGGTCACGCCATATCGCTTGCGAATATAAATATGTTGTTCCTTTTGCATTTACTAGGTAGCATGAAGTAGGCATTTTGTTTTGCTAGAGCTAGCTAGCTAGCAACGAGAGCTACACCATGGCGGTGCTGGGGCTCTCGTCTCAGATCAGGGGCGCGGAAGATGACGCCAGGAAAAGAGAGAGCGGCAGGGGCCACGGTCGCAAGCTGTCGGGCGTCTTGTCCTCCTTCCTGGATGCATTCCGCTGCCATGTCGCACACGCGGGCGTGTGCAGCGCCGCCACCAACAAGGAGCAAGACACGAGCAAGAGCAAGGCCAAGCCCAGGCTCAAGCTTCTCCTGCAGCAGCAGCAGCAGCAGCGGGCGGAGGACAATAGGGAGCACGACAAAGCATCAGCATCGATATCCGAGGTATGTGAGCGACTCAAGGCCCATGACGACGACGACGACGACGACAACAAGGCCAAGGTGGTTGTGAGCCCGAGAGATCATGGGGGGCCCAACAACATCAAGGCCCCGTCCGGCTCCGGAGGAGGATCCTTCGGGAGGAGATTGGATCTGCGGTGGCTGGTCGACGGCGTGAAGAGCGGGCGGAAAGAGGACGAGCGGTTGAGAGCGGCCACAGAAATGCGGAGGATGAGCCGTGACAGCGCAGAAAACAGGGTGGTGCTGGCGGAGCTGGGCGTGATTCCCTCGCTGGTGGACCTCTTAACCATCTCCGCTGTCTCCGCTTGCAAGCAGCCTCTGCTGGCGCTGCTCAACCTCGCCATCGGAAACAGCAGGTACCTAGTGGTGGTGATCGCAGCCAATGAGATTAAGCTTTTGATTCGCGCGTGCGCAGGAACAAGCAGTGGATCGTCGAGGCCGGAGCGGTGCCAATCCTGGTCCGGATTCTATCCAGCGCTACCTCGGCTGCGGACGTTGTCGAGAGCGCCATAGCTGCTCTACTCTCGCTGTCAGCCCTGGATTCCAACAAGCCCATCATAGGCCACTCGGGTGCATCCCAGCAGCTGGTGCGGATCGTCCGCACCAAGAGCAGCAGCAGCATCATCAAGGATTCCACCCGCGTCTTGTACAACCTCTCCATTTCTTCCGCAAATGTTGGGCGTATGGTGGCGGATGGTGCAGCCGACGCCCTCCTCAACCTCCTCAACACGGACGCCGATAGCGACCCGCTGGTTGCCGACAGGATCCTGGCCACGCTGGGCAATCTGGCGGAGCTCTCAGAAGAGGCACGCAAATGCCTCACCTCCTCCGCTGCCATCGCCAAGCTCCTCACGGCGCTCGCATCCTACACCGCAACCATGGAAGAAACGTCATCTTCGTCGTCGTCGTCGGCGTCGGCTTCGTCCGGCTCGGAAGAGGACTCCCAAGTATATTCGAAGCATCTTGGCCCTGCCGCCACGGTCGCACGGTGCCAGGAGCGAGTCCTCTACGTGCTCATGCTGCTCACTCACCACAGCTGGCCTGCTCGCCAGGCCATGGTGAGCGCTGGTGCTGTCACTCCACTCCTGGAGGTGGCACTGCTGGGCACGGCCATCGCGCAGAGGAGGGCGGCACGGATCCTCGACTGCCTGAGGGAGGAGCGCTTCCAGCGAAATGCCAGGCCAATGTCGGCACCACTCGCGCTCCCGCTCGCAGCTTCGTCCAGGATGGTCCAGGCCCCAAAGCATGCAGTGTGCGAGGAGCGAAGGGCCGTCAACTGGATGGTGAAGCAGAGCTTGGAGAGGAATATGGAGAAGATGGTGCGCCGCGCCAGGCTTCCTTCCGAGGATCTAGACGCCAGCAGCAGGATGACAATAAGCAGTAAGCTCAACAGGAGCTTTGGCAGCAGTTCCAGCTCCAAGGCGATGCTTGTCTGATAGATTTTTGTACATAAAGGAGGAGCTACTTGGCCGGCGATGATAGATGCAGCTTCACCAGCGAGGCATAAGCTCCATTCGGCTTGCTCATGAGCTGGGAATGGCTCCCTCGCTCCACAATCACCCCGTTGTTCACAACGGCGATCACGTCCACGCCAACAATTGTTGACAGCCGGTGCGCAACAATTAGCGTTGTCTTGCCAACCATGATCCTGTCCAATGCCTCCTGGACAACGCTCTCAGATTCCGCATCCAAGGCACTGGTTGCCTCGTCCAGCAGCAGAATCCTGGGCTCCTTGGCCACGGCTCTGGCGATGGCAACTCGCTGCTTCTGTCCCCCAGACAACTGCATGCCGCGGTCGCCAACCTGAGTGTTGTAGCCGTCGGGTAAGGCCGAGATGAACTTGTGAGCGTTTGCGGTCGTTGCTGCGGCCTCGATTTCCTCCTCCGCCACCCTCCCCTCTCTTGCATACGCAATGTTGGACCGTATGGTGCCGCTGAACAGAATTGGTTCTTGGCTCACCAGTCCAATGTGTTGGCGTAGCCACCTCAGGCTCATCGTTTTGATGTTGATCCCGTCGATGAGTATCTCGCCGCTATCAGGATCGTAGAATCTTTCCAAGAGAGCGATGACAGTTGACTTCCCGCTCCCACTTTCCCCTACCAGGGCCATTGTCTGTGGGAAAACATAAACAAAGTCACAAAAGAAGATGCGCTTCGGGTACCTTTCCAGCTTCCAGTGAGAAGCACATGTCACGAAACACTTGCGCATCAGGACGTGACGGGTATCTGAAGCTCACATGCCGGAACTCGATGTCGCCCTTCATTCCTTCCAGCGCCTTGCCTTCGGCGTTGAAGGGATCAATCTTAGACTTCCTGTCAAGGGTTGCAAAAATTGATCTGACCGAGGCCTTCACTTTGACCAGATCAGGAGCCAATGTCACGGCCTGAGAAACTCCCAAAGCACTCATTGTGATAGCAAAAAACACCTGTTGCAAAGCACCGCACGGTTATAGCAGCCCGTCAAGGCCAAGCAAAAGCAATGTCGCCCACCCGGAAAACTTTCTGAAACGTCGTCTTTCCTTCCTCCACTAGACGAGCTCCGTACCAGAAACTGAGTGCATACGAGCCATAGAGTACGAAGTTTGAAAAACCAAGCGCAGCTCCACTCACCATCCCGTTCCGTATCCCACTCTTGGACGTAACTTCACACTTTTGCATGTAAAGCCTGACCATCTTTTGCTCCATGCAATACGACGCCACTGTGCGGATGCTACTAACAGCATCGTTTGCAACTTTGGTTGCATCTTGATATGTTTCCTGCCACAAATCCACAGTGACGTGAGGGCCACTGCCACATTATATCACACTCACCTTTGCGTTCTTGCTGAAACCAGTCATCATCTTCGTCTGTGTTGCGCCCTGAAGGGCAAGTAGAGGGACCAATGCAAGGATTAGCAGAGCCAGCGTCCAGTTTGCAGCGAAGGCGATTATCAACCCGGTAACAATGGTTGCAACATTCTGAACAGCCAACGACATGGAGTCTCCGACCAGGCTACGGACGTAAGCTGCGTCGGTTGATAAACGAGCACTGATAGCTCCACTGGGCAAATGCAGCAAGCCACGTAAATAGAGAGAACTCTAGCAGAAAAAGAGCCCACCTGGAGTTGCTGGGATCGTCGAACCAGCCGATATCCTGGCGAACAACCGCACCAAACGACTGCCTCCTGATGCGTCGAATCAAGCGCTGGCCAATTAACCCGAAAGACGCGATCTGTGCCGGAACAACAATCAAACATGCCGCTGCCAGAGCCGTGAAAATGGCCGACCAGAAATCCACATCCTTTCGTAGCTTGTGCCTGCTCGTCTCGAAAAACGTCCCGATCATGTTGGACAGAAGCAGCCCAAAGAGTGGAAATAGCACACCGTGTCCAGCGGCGGCTAGCCCACCGGCAACGGCCAGCGGTGCCTCGGGCTTGTTCAAGGCTGCGAGACGAAGAAATGCCTGCGTCAATTGTGGTTTCTCTTCCTCGCTCTTATTGTTGGCATTGTTATTGGCATTCTCCTCGATGGCCGACCTTGCAGCAGCACTAAAGCTTCTCAGAAGTCTGCTCCCAAACGAGCCGCGACTGCTGCTAGCCCTGCTTAGAGATCTTTGAGGGACGCTCTGCTCGACGACCTCGTCTGGGTCCACTTTGGCCAGGCTGTGCTTGGATCTCTCGTCATGTTGCTCTTGCAGGCGCACCAGCTGGGAGTAGGCGCCATCCGGTTTCTGTAGCAGCTCCGAGTGTGTGCCTGGTCACCGGGTGTAACATATAAACTATAGCTCCAAGGCCGATATAAATCTGAGCACTCACCTTTCTCAACCACGTTTCCTCGCTGAACCACAGCGATGCAGTTTGCGTTCTTGATGGTAGACAATCTATGGGCTACGATGACAGTTGTCCGGTGCACCATGATCCCGTCCAGAGCATCCTGGACAACCCTCTCCGACTCGGCATCCAGAGCACTGGTAGCTTCGTCAAGGAGAAGAATGCGAGGGTTCTTGAGGATAGCTCTGGCGATTGCGATCCTCTGCTTCTGACCTCCCGAAAGCTGTGTTCCATGATCTCCAACGTGCGTGCTGTAACCCTGCCAAAACACTTAACCGCAATCCTTAATGACCGGATTGAATTCTCACCTGAGGCATCTTGTCTATGAACTTGGAAGCGTTTGCAAGAGCGGCAGCGCGCTTGATTTCCTCGTCAGTGGCGCCATCTTTCCCATAGGATATATTGTCCTTGATAGAGGCACCAAAGAGTACCGGCTCCTGGCTTACGAGGCCAATTTGTTCTCGCAGCCATTTGACTTGCAGACGGCGTACGTCAATGCCGTCTAAAAGGACCGCCCCAGCCTGTGGATCATAGAACCTCTCGATTAAGCTGACAACAGTAGACTTGCCGCTACCGCTCTCCCCCACCAAAGCAGCGGTTATGCCGGATGGTATGGCCAGAGAGAAATTGTCAAAGACGGCTACCTCCGGGCGCGCGGGATATCTGAAGCTCACGCTGCGGAGCTCAATGTCACCAACCACCCGGTCGGGCGTTAGGCCACCCATGTCCGACGCATCGATACTAGGCTTCCTGTGGATGGCTTCAAACATCTTGCATGCCGCTGCCCTTCCCGCAGCAAACGCGCTGATACAAGGTGAAGCCTGGCCCAGGGACCTGCACGCCACCATTCCATGTCATCATAAGTATGAAATGCTGTTATCTACTTACGATCCGCCCATGAGTACTGCGAAGATGACATTGAGGACGTCACCACCCGTGTAGCCTCGATGCAGTATCAGCTTTGATCCATACCACAGTGCAAATGCATAGCTGCCGAACACCACACACAGGAGAGCTCCCAGCCCGGCTCCGGCAACAACACTCTGCCGGACTCCAGCTCGGTACGCCTTGTCAAGCGCCTTGTCGTACTTGTCCACAGCCTGCTTTTCGCCACCAAAAGACGCAACCTACACGTACACATGTCCCGTGACATGAAAAGGGTGGCGGAATTGTACTCACAGTTTTGATGCCACCGACAATCTGCTCCACGAGAGTTCCTGCCTCGGCATACGCCATCTGTCCTCTAGTTGCCATTCTGGACGTGAGAATGGCCATTGCACCGCCAGTGGCGACGAGCAAAGGGATGACCGAGAGCAGGACGAGTGCCAAGCGCCAGCCCTTGACAAATGCAATGACGAAGCCACCCAAGAAGGTTGTGCTAAGCTGGATGAACTTCCCAACCTGAAGTGCATAAATTTGCATGACATAATGTTGCAGATCAAACCCACCTTTTCCCCCATGGCCTCTTGGATGAGGATGGTGTCACCAGACATCCGGCTCATCACCTCGCCTGTGTTGGTCTCCGTGTCAAAGAATGGGATGTCCTGCCGCAAAATGGCCTTGAGATACAGGCTCCTGATACGAGCTGCTTGCCGCTCTCCCGTGCACATCCAACAGCACAGCTCTGCATTAGCACACCATCCATCTGTTAGGAGCAGTGCAGGTCGTCCAAGCGAGCACGTTACCCAGGAGAGCCGCAATAGCAGATCCACAGCCAAGGTAAAGGAAACGCAGCGCCACCTGACAAAAACGATAGAGTGTGCTCCGCTAAGGGTTGGAAAACGTACCCGAGACACGGTGTCCACAACTTGGCTCGTGTTTCCTGCCGATTCCCCGAAAGCGTTTGTCAGTTGGCCAAAGATGATGGTCATGAGTGGCATTGCGATCCCGTTCCCCACGGCGCCAAAGGATCCCAGGAGCATGAGGAACAAATCCAAGCCGTCTGCGAAGCTAAAGAGCTTGTAGAATGCAACGCTACGGTCGCCCGCCTTCTTTGGATGATCCATCTCGGGCAGGGAGTTGCCCTACAAGCAGACACGGGAGGAGATATAAAAGGCACCACGCGTGCGTTGTGTTTCGGAAAGCGTCCATCCGGGTCAAAGAGAAACACATATGATACATATAACTTCTACAGCGTGATCTTTTAATTTAACAAGAACTCCCGTGCCGGAGACGTGGCTAAAGACCTCTCCTCCAATCAACCAAGGGTGCCTAGGTCGAATTTAGATATTTGAGTGCGGGGGGATGCCTTTGTGCGTGAGCTGCGACCTCGGCCGCGGATGGCTGGGCGTGCCCGATGTGAGCTCGGTTGCGGTGGACAGGGAGAGGGTTCCGGTCCCAAAGCTCAAGAAGCAGCGGGGCCAATGGTCCAATGGCACTGCGCCGGGCGAGTACGGTGGCCCTCCCTTGAGCTTGGAGCCCCTCAGAATGTGGGGGAAGCCGCGCCTCCATCCGCTGGAAACCAAGGACGAGTTTATCTGGAACATCGAGTGGAGGCCATTCTTCGATAGAGAGCAAGCTGCCGAGGAGATTGTTGCTGAGGTACGCTTAGGAATTGCACATTGTTGCTCCTACTTTGATATTCATCAGGAAGCCGAGTCAAGCTCCGGATTCATCAGCTTCAACAGGGTCGCGGAGATTAACCGGTGACACCACTTTTCCCCTTGGCTTAGTGTTGTGTACAAAGGCAACCAACTACCATTGCAGTGTAGATGTTGACTTAACCAAGGAGCTTGTCCACACAACACCAACACCACCACCGTCACCAGCAGCAGCAGGAGCAGCAGCAACCGCCAATGGTCATCGCTGGCGTTTTGCCCCGACTCGTAACGAGCGGAGGCAATGGGACCGAGCTAGGAAGGCCTCAGTTGAGCGGATTCCGTGTCTTGTACGAGCTTGTGTCTCACTGTTAGGCATTCCCATTGTTGCAGGAGACGCTGAGGAGCGAGAGGGATTCCGTCGCAACAGCGACATCCTCGTCGAGGCAGCGAGAAAGGGAGAGATACAAGCGGGTACGTAGTAGTTCATCTTGCGCCGGCCACCTTTGAAATCTCACCTAGAGCTGCGTGTTGCAATCCACAGCTCAAGTCAGGCCTGCAGGTGCTTACAGTGGGCATTGGCGGCGCAGGAACAGTGTGTGCGTACGTAGCCTACTCGCCCACCGTTGCACTGAGGTAGGGACTTAGTTGACTGTAATCGCCAGACGCTGAGACGATGTGCAACCAGCTACGGGATTGGACTGGCGGGTTCCCTGGCATATGTCCGAATGCTGGGGAACAGCGTGGATGCATTCGGCAGCCAAGACGTCAAAGGAGCTGCGAGGTGAGAGGACTGGATCGACGCGTGAGCAGAGCTGATTTTCCCCGATGGTGTCATGTGCAGGGGTGCTGTGGGTCAGCCGAGGCTTCTGGTGCCCGTCATCCTCACCATGATCTTCAACCGCTGGAACGAGTAGGATAGTCCTTACCTCGACGTACGCTCATGTGTCCTTGTTGGTGTTGTACAGGCTGCTGGCCCCGGAGTTGGGAGTGGCGGAGTTGCAGCTCATTCCTATGCTGGTGGGCTTCTTCACGTACAAGATCGCCACCATGGCGCAGGTCGTCCAGGATGCGCTCCCGCAAGAAAGCCGGGATAAACTCGAGTGAGGGTGTTTAGGGTTGCTGGAGGGAGGGGGAGGATGAGGGAGAGATCCACGGCATCATCCAAGCCACACGATGAGCAGCACTCGCTGCTGCAGCACGACGGGGAGTCGGCGGTGTCCAAGCTGCTGAGCCCGGACGCGGAGTGGGATAGGGTAAGTTCCGGCGCTAGAAGCGCTTGCAAGACTCACTCGTCAATCAACAGGATCAGCTGGGCGATGTGCTGCATTGGCTGAGGCAAGCCCTGGGGCTGCTGTGCGGAATCGTGTGGGGTCTCATTCCACTCGTAGGCTCCGTCTGGCTGCTCGTGTAAGTCTTATCTCTCGAGTGGCAATTCACCTCTCTCCCTGCTCGCTCGCATTGCAAGGTTCATGCTTGTGTCCACGCTGCTCGTCTACACGTACTACGCCTTCTTGCTCAAGGTGGACCAGGACGAGTTTGGGGGCCACGGCGCTCTCCTCCAGGAGGGCATGTTTGCATCGGTCACGCTCTTCCTGGTAGGTCAACGTACAAGAAGCTAACCCTAATCTCGCATGGCTAAATTGCAGCTGGCGTGGATTCTTGTCTACAGCCTTGTCCATTTCTGATTTTTCCCTCGCCGCCCCAAAACTTCAACTCTTCGTAATAATAAAAACGTTTTCAAAAACACTAACGTAGCATCGGCGGATCTTGCGGCTGTGCGCTCGCCACGTGTCAGGCCGCCCAACGGATACTTGTTGGAGGATACAAAGCCCGACCCGCCGCTGTCCATCGAGGGTTTAGGTTTTGTGCTGGGGCGGCGCATGGATTTCCAGTCCCTTCCTCGGCGCCAGCTCCAAATCCTCTGCAAGCAGCACAAGATCCCGGCCAACACGACCAATGTCGCCATGGCGGCGGCATTGCGCGACCTTGCTGTAAGTTTTCCTTGGTTCTTGATCGCCAGCTGATTCTTGGGCATTCTAGGAAAAGGGGGGATGTGAAATCGTGATTCCGGATGTGACGGCGCCCACGCCTTGCAAGTCTGCCTTGTCCACCCCAGTGGCCACTCCCGGCCGAGTCACCAGGAGCCAGGTGAAGCAGCAGCGTCAGCGTGACGAAATAGTCATGGAGAGGAAGGAGCTGTTCGTGGAGGAGAGGAGCTCTCGACGTCTCCCATCCAAAGCAGCGGTTCAAGGTAATGACGAGCAGGTGGTGATACACTCCCAAGCTTCCGAGGTTAAGGTTGCCGCGATTGGTCCCCTTGAGGAGACGAATGCGGCTGGTGCTGAGGTGGAGCAGCTGGATCTATCTGACGCTCAGGGGGCGACCAAGGGCACCGGTGCCAAGGAGGAGCTGGCTGCGGGGATCGTCTTGCCGCATGCATCGGGGATTCCAAAGGAGAAGAAAGACATCTGTGCCGAGGAGGAGGTGGCTGAGATGATCGTCCCGCTGGACATTCTCGAAGAGAAGGAAGACGTCTGTGCCGAGGAGGGTATTGCCTTGCCGGACATTCTCGAGGAGAAGAAAGACACCTGTGCCGAGGAGGAGGGGATCGTCTTGGCGGACATTCCCGAGGAGAAGACAGTCACCTGTGCCGAGGTGCAGCAGCGTGAAAACCCGCCACAGCCCTGCGACAATCATCATAACAACGGGCCACAGGCTGTGGACGCCTCGTCTTTCACTGGAGCTGAGCTTGTCGACCACCAACTTGTCTCGTCCATGGACGGGGACGTAGCCGAAACGGAGATGTCCATGTCTGATGACTCGCTGCATCATCTTCTTAGTCACGCCCCTCAAGGTCAGCTGCCAACGGCCGAGGAAGTATTCCAATCTGATGGGTCAGAGGAGGATAAGTGGTGCGGCCCAGAACTTTTGATGGACGATATGTCTCTTGTTGGCGAGTGTCAGCTTAACCAAGATCCGGCAGAGGTGGAGCAGCTGTCTTATGCGTTATCAACTGTCACCCTTGAGGAATCCTCGGCTACTTCACCCAAGTCAAAAGCGAAAGTGGACAAGGAAAATCTGCCTCTGGGATTCGAACGATTCAGCTTGAGACAGCTAAAGAAATTTCAAAAGGAACTCTACGGGAAGAAAAAGGTAAGGCGCTGCTCGGTTTCACAAACCGGATTCTCACCCCGTTTTGTCGCTTCCAGATGGAAAAGCCGAGCGTGACGCCTCTGTCTCCGAATGTCAGCAAGAACAACTGTGCACACTAGCGAGCGACTGATCGGAGGTAAAGTAGACGTAGGTGTGAGATCATTCGTCTTCATGATCCTCAGAAGAAGCGAATATCCGAAGAATATGAATGCGGTCGGTCATTAAGTGTCATTTATTGTTTCAATCTGTCACCATTCGCGAATATGCGCTGCTCATCCTGGCTGGTTGATGCGTTTCGTGGACTTGCCTTTAGTCGATGGTGCGCGTGCTCCGTTCTGCCCTAGCTCGTTTCGTTTGTTCGTTTTCTGGCATTTTGTAGCTGTAGCTTGGGCTCGGTGTGGCGACCTGTTCGCTTGATTCAAATCAATGGGCGTCAAGAAGAGCATGCTACCAGTGGAGGAGGTTTTGAAAGGAGCCATTGAATATGTACCCCTGCGCGTTGGAGGTGATGGCCATCTGCTTCTCCCTTGTTGTAAAGCAAGTCGTGCCTCTTTTTGCAGCTCCACGTTCGTCTGGGATGCCCCTGCGGATATTTGCATGGGTTGTAGAGTCGCAACTGATCGGGAAGGTTGTACTAGCCTACTTCATGCGACTCAATCGCTTGCCTCAGGTTTTGCTTCTTCGCCTCCGCTACAATCGGGCAACTAACAAACCAGCTCCTCCCGTCTCTAGATGCTTTGCGACACTGCAATTCCAGATTCCCCAATGTTCCTGCCCGAATACCCAGACGACAGTGAGTGAAAATCTGGCATTGCTTTGACTCGTGAAACTGTTTGCTACCAGCAATCGGAGAACCTGCAACAAAGGTTCTAGCCTCAGATTTAGGAGCGATTTCTCGTGTCGACGCGGCCATCGAGTGCCTTCCGTCTTACATCTCGAGGAGCCAGCGTCTTGGCGACGGATATCCTTTCAAGTTCTGGTGTATAAGGGATTATGCAGGAGCATATCGATCGGGAAGAACAACTCCGATGGAGGTAGGTTTTGTCACAGGATGCTATCTTGCAAGGCGTGAAGATCTCGATAATTAGGTAGCCGAGCGCTTTATTCAAGCTGTAGAAGATTCTGAAAGGCTGAGTCCTCCAATGGCTTACATGATATCCTTCGACGCGTCCGACATACGTAAACAAGCAGCAGCATCCGCGGAACGTTTTGCCTCAGGTTGGAGCACTAGTTTGTCTATGTTTTTACCCTCCACTTGGGGCAGGTTCTCCTCTATCAATGCTGGATGGCGTCCTGATCGTCGTAAAAGATGACATAGACTGCCTTCCGCACGAGAGCAGAGGTATGCAGGTTTTGTGTTTCCATTACACGAGTTCGGTGAACTATCTCTACAGGAGGAACACAATGGCTCCATAAGTACAGAGAGGTGAAAACGGATGCAGCCTGTGTTGCAAGACTGCGGGAGTGTGGAGTTATATTTGCAGGAAAAACAAACATGCATGAGCTCGGAATGGGAACCACTGGAAATAATCCATATTCAGGGTGAGAATCCTTTTCAGCTGACCATTTTCAATTCTCTCTGGGAATAACAGAACTGCAAGGAATCCTTATGATACTACGAGATATGCTGGAGGTTCTTCGTCAGGCTCAGCTGCCGTAGTTGCGTCTGGTTTATGTCCGGCATCACTGGGAACTGATGCTGGAGGTATGTAGCATCAAGCATTCGGTTCACTAGAGTTTTGTTGCAGGGTCCATAAGAATACCTTCGGGATTGTGCGGACTGGTGGGTTTGAAGTGCACTTTTGGACGTATAACTCTCTCTGGGTAAGAAAATGAAAAAGAGAAAGCGATCTTGACCTCCGTCATCTACAAAACTCTGTAAGGCTTGTGCCGGTTGGATGGACTCTAGAAGCGGTTGGGCCTATCGCAGCTAATGTAGAGGATGCATTGATCGTGTAAGTTTCTTGAAGCTCTTTATTCATGAGTTATGGTTCGTGACATCCAGGTATTCAGCCATGATAGGGAGCGGTCCATCTGACGTTGTTTATTCAAAACCAGTAAGTAGCTATATCAGCGGATAGAGCATTATTTTCACAAGGTTTTCAGCCTCCTCCATGTTTGCCGCTATTCAATCATACAAGCTTCCAGCAACTAAAACTCGGAATCTATACCGATGTAAGTCTTCTGTGTGATTAGATTTCTAGTGACTTACGTTTACGAACGTGCAGTGGTTCACCGATGTATCTCCTCCTGAAGTAGCAACCATCTGTAGGATGGCTGTCGACCGATTCTGTGAGAGATACTCTTCTCGCGTATAAGCATCTACCAGGCCGTCAGTGTGCTGAGTCTTTTCTTGTTCAGATCAATGAGATCGCAATACCGGAGCTTGAGGAGTTGCGAAACGGCCATCTTGTGACTACAGGTTCTGAAATATGCACATGCTTGAATTCAATCTACAAATACGGGTACACAGCTTGTTAATTTTCAGTCTGCCTGCTCGAACGGATTTATGGCTGCAGGAGGAAAAGTACCTGCCATGAAACCCGAGTGATTATCGCGTTGTTTAAGCAGTTCCAGTCGAGCCTCTATGTTTCAGCACAGCGCCTGCGGTTTGTCTACGAGATTAGATCATGGTACTGACCACGCTTCGATTGTCAGGAGACGGCTGATGTTCTACCACATGGAAATTTTCAGGACAGTTGATGTGATCGTCACTCCTACGACAGGGTGAGATGCCCATGGCCTGGATTGGAATGAATCCCTCACCCATTTTTACAGGGTTACTGCTCCTTTTATACCGGCAGACGCGATCAGCACCGGGGAAACAGACCTCGCAACACACGGTCAGTTAAGTTAGCCTTTTGAGAGCCTCCAATATTTGACGGATTGTGTTCCGTTTCTGCAGCTGATCTTATGAGGTTCATAGTTTCAGCCAACTTTTTGGGACTTCCTGCTGTTTCCGTACCAGTAGGTTCTTTTACTTGCATTCTCTCTCTCTCATCACGGTCATAATGTTCAGGTTGGCCACGACAAGCAGGGCCTTCCGGTTGGGCTGCAACTCATTGGCAAGCCATGGCAAGAAGCAACGTTGCTCCGTATCGCTTTTGCAATTGAGGTAATGTGTCCCTTACAAACAAAGCTACCAAGTAAGCAGGTTTTCGGTATTAGGAGCTGTGCGCCAAAGCGAGGAGAAAGCCGGCTGTCTTCTACGACATGTTGTAAGGTGTGATTGCCAGATTAAATCAAGTCTTAGATGGCGACCTCATATTAATGGGAGTGGCGTGCTTTCCTGCAGGGTCTGTAAACTCACGGGTCTGGTTTCAGGAAGGTGTGGCAGTAGGAGAAGTTCATTGCACTGCCTCTGGGCGCTCTCACTTATTTCCCTGCGCCTCTCTCTCGTTATAAGGGCGAGCGCGGACGAGCTCTTGAGGAACATCGTGCTTTTGGTTGCTTGCTTGCTTCTCTCAGCAGCGTTGGCATGGGCGGAGCGCGCATCCTGGTTGTTGTAGCTTTGCTTGCCTCACTGCTGCTCCATGTCGGACTTGTAGCGGCCGCTGTGGATTGCAGCGCTGCGCAGCAGGCAATGTTTCCTTGCCTCTCGGCGGCGGTGGGAGGCAATCCACCGCCACCCTCGGTTGCCTGTTGCGCCGCCATGAAAAGCGTGTCCAAGCTTGAGATGTGCCAGTGCCTCGTGAATCAAACGTCCACGGTGCCAGGCCTCAACATGACTGCCGCCAGAAACATCCCGGCGAACTGCAACATCTCCGCCGCCGCCGACTGCTCCTGATTTCACCTGCAATGCTCTTGTGTATGTTCCCATATATTAACAATCAATGCTTTAAGATACCTTGTGGATGAGCTGGCGCATCCTCATTGGCCTCGTCTCCACGTGGCCGGCTGTGAGTGGCCCGCACAACGTGACTGACTGCCCTAAGTATAAGGTTGTGGCGCAGCGCTGGCGTCTACACTGCGGCAGTCGAAGCGCGCCGGCCAAGGGGGAGGAGCTGCTGCTGCTGCTGCTGCCGCTCCTGCCGCTGCCGAGGTGGTGAGGCGCCGCCCAAATCTCCCAGCAGCTGCTCGCAAACGCGGCCGCCTTGTGGCGTGGGCGTGCGTGGCCATGGGAGCTGCCTGGTTGTCGGCCTTGCTCGCCTTTCTGTGGCTCACCAGCGACGCCCGCTCGGATGTGGATACCGGTGCCCCGCCAAGCAGCCAACTAGTAAGTAGCGCTCCTGTGTGTCTAGACCAGCCTTAAAGAAACAAAGCTCAGGTGACGTACGGCAGTGTGATCAAGCTGCAGCATGCGAGCACCAAGTTCAGGCTGCACTCACACGAGGTTCCCTATGGTTCTGGGAGTGGCCAGCAGTCTGTCACTGCCTTTTCCCACGTCAACGATGGTAATAGCTACTGGGTAAGGGAGTGTGCATGCCCGCTACTCTTCTAACTTGTCCGTCCCCTCCCAGATTGTCAAGCCCGGGCCCCAAAGTGAAGCCCAGCAAGGAGACGGCGTTGCTGAGGGGTCCATTGTGCGCCTTCAGCACATGAGAACGAGAAGATGGCTCCACAGCCATCTGCATCAGTCGCCCCTCACTGGGAACCTCGAGGTGACTCGGCTTTTTCTATCCCCTCCCTCAGCTGTGCCATGTCTGCAGGTGAGCGCATTCGGCAGTCCAGATGTGAGTGACACGGGAGATACCTGGAGGTACAGCCTGTATCTATGTCAACCGCTCTACTAAAAAACCTTGTCTCCCCGCTTGTTTTTAGATTGGAGATTGAGGGCAAGGAAAAGACCTGGACCAAAGATCTCAAGGTCCGGTTGTATCACATGGACACGGGTGGCTACCTTCACAGTAGCCATGACAACAAGTACACCAGAATAGTTGCGGGACAGTTGGAGGTAACATGAAGAATTCTCCGTCTTGTGTCGTTTTTAAGTCTGTGTTACAGGTGTGTGGTGTCCAAAAGAAGAGCGCTGACAACGTCTGGCTGGCTGCGGAAGGAATTTATCTCCCCAGGCGAACAAAGTGACCGTCACTCGGGTAAGTATACAGAGGGGAGTGTGCTTTACTAGCGCGGGCTATGATGAGCAGATTATAATTGGTGATAAGAAGCCTTGAATGAGCAACTTTTTTCTCAAGCACTTTTGAGCCCAGCCCAGGAATGCTTGTCTAGGTGTAACAACGCTCACATTGTATCTTGGCATGACAATAGGCTTATACATACATTCACGAGGAGCGGGAGGGGGTGGTGCACGCAGTGACGCTGGTGATGGTGATTTTATCGGCCACCACCGCCTCGTCATCGTCGTTTCGATGCCAGGACCAGTGCGCATGCGTTGCGTTTACCACCTGCAGCTCCCCATGGCCGAAGCTTGCCTCCCGAAAGATGGACCATTCCGGCTGTGGATCCCTGAATCGTCGGGCCAGTCCTTCGCGGTTTCCGCCGTCTCCGATTGTGATGTGCATGATTCCGCACTCGTCGAGCTGGCCGCTGTAGACACGAGCCTGCAGAAATATGTATAGCACATCGGGATTACAATTACATGACCAATGGCAAGAATCCGAACCGTTCGCTCGTAAGCGTGAACGTGCCCCGCGAAAACAATGTCAACTTTGGCCTCGCGCAGCATGGGCTCCAGTGCATGCATCATCCCATCTCCATCTCCCCGGTGCTTGGCGTTGGAGTTATACCATGGTGCATGAACAATGGCAACAAGCCAAGGCGTTTTGCTCCTGTCCACCTTGTTCAAATCTTCCTGTCACCATTTACCTGCACAATTAGTCCACCCGACGAATGAAAGCACTTAACTTGGAGCCACGCATACTGCTCCGAGCGCTGGTCGTAGGCCGCATACGAGCCGAGCATGACAACGTGAACGCTAGCAACATCAAACGAGTAAAAGAGGTTGGAGGGCGAGTCGCTTTCGCTGTGAGGCATGGACCAGCGGGAATTGTAAGCCTTGTAGGGCCGGGCAAGCAAAGGAATCCCCTCCACGTCGTGATTTCCCTGGGTCACCATCCACGGTCGCGAGCTTGCCGCTGGTTCCACGAGCCTGCCAAACGAATCCCACAGCGGCTGGTAGTAGTCGGCATACGAAAGGTCACCCGCAAACAGGAGCACATCGTAACTGCACTGCTGGATGTGGGCAAGAGTGGATTCGCTCCACCGCGTCTGCCCCAGGTCACCTAAAAAAGCACAAAATGTGGAGCTGGCTTGGGACGGACAAGCGTGTGTTACCCACCGACGACCGCAAACGTGACTGGCACCTCAGGCCCGAGCTTGGGCGGTGTCTTGAAACTCAGCTCGCGGCCTCCAGCTCCAGCAACTCGATAGAAGTAGCGCGTGTCGTCCTCGAGGGGCCCGATGACAGCATTGTGGATGGTCCCCGATCGGTAGAGCATGTAAAAGTAGGAGGAGGAGCCATCCGCAACTGCGGATGCGGTGTAAGTGTTTGGGGCGGTGCCGTAGTCGACCTTGGCCGGGAGGTTGGAGCCGGCTGCCGTGATCCATGTCACTCGGATGTGCTTGAGGCCGGCTAGAGTCACGTGAACCTGGATACGCCCCCGCACTGTCTGTGAGCACTACAACTCTCTATATATATGTTGCGAGCGACTCTCACCTGCTCAGGGGACGCCTGGAGCAGCAGCTGCTTGCGGCCGAGCCACGCCCACTGCCCGGCTGCTCCCGCGGCCGCCCACCACACCACAAGGACCGCCAGCAACGCCGCAGGCGCATCCATGCCTAGGGTTGATCTCCCTCGCATTTGACACGCAGGCACCGACTTTAAGTGGGCCTCGACATGCCACTGACAAATCTCTTGTTCAGCATGTTTCAGATCGGGAGTAAGTCATCCGTAAGCTCCCAATCTTCGTCCCTGGCTTTTCCAGAGGACTTGACACTGTCGTACCCAACTCGTCGTGGGCGTTGCCCAAAACAAGCCATGGTGCTGCCCGTCTGCCTCTGATGATCCTGATCCACCTTCCACAGTTTGCTCTCATAAGCCTGGACTTCCATTTTCCTGCCAAGACTTGTGCAAAGGTGCACCAAACAGCGCAAGCACTCTGCATTGTCTGGGTGTGCGCTAAGAATTTGCTTGTATTTGTGAAGTGCCTTTGAAAATGAACCCGTTCGTCGTAAGCACAGCGCCACCTTTAGCTTCCACTTCACCTACGGAGAAGAAAAGACTCAGGCTCTGGACTGCTCAAACTGACTACCTCTTCAGGATGAATCCGTGACGCTAGTTGGAAGAAAGGCATTGCTTTCTCGTACAACTCGTTCTGCAGATAAAAAGACCCCAACCACGCAGTGACAACCACATCCGTTGGACACACTCTGTGCGACTCGCTGAAGTAGTGAAGAGCCTTTGCATCATCTTCACAGCGCACGTAGAGGTTTCCCAGCATAGCTAGAAGGCCTGCATCATGCATCACTTTCGAGACCAAGAGCTCTAGCCACTTTATTGCTTGTCGAGAGTTTCCCATAACGTCACTCACTTGTCCAATCTGCCATGCCCATGACAAAGATCAAGAAAATCAAGGAAACGCCATGAGAATACAATACCTGAAACAATACTTCGGTATTATTCGGAAGAACGTAACTTATTTTCTTGAATACGCTCAATGCTTCCTCAAAAGAATTTAGTTTCTTATATGCAAGGCCCAGGTTATAAAGTGCCTCCACGCAATCAGGGTCCACGTCTGCAGCGCCTTTATAGACTTGCTTTGCGCGCTCAGGATCGCCCTGTTTTGTTGGTACAAAATATGAAAGGATGAAATACAGTCTGCTTCTTACCCTCATAAAGTAACAGTTTCCTTGGTTGACTAGGGCGCAAGCGTTGAACCGATTATTTAAAACAGCAAGCTCCGCGTGTTTCTCCGCGTTTGCCAGATCACCCTCCAAGAAATATAAGAAAGACAGATTTGTTGCTGCTCGTGCTTGCAAATCTCTTTCTTTTCGTTCGAATTCTTTTAGCAATGCTATGGCCTGGGAAAATAAGTTTCAGAAACTACCAGATATGAATCATGGATTACTTGTTGAAAGTCTCTTTGATGTAGGTGTTGAAGGGCTTTATCCATTTCCATTTCGTGTGCAAGGGTCACATATTGCTGGTCTTGTAGCAACTCGATGACCCAATCATAACCCTCTACCAAAGAATTTCCAACAACAGGAGCAATAATTCTCGCAGATGTTAGTATGAGCCTGTTTGCCTGATTTTGTCTTGCATGTAGCTCCTGCCGCAACTCGTCCCTCTGCAAGATAAAAGAACCATCAAAGCATGCCAAAGGACAGTGGAAACGGACCCACCCGAAACACGGCCGTATGATCGGGCTCAATGTCATCGTCACGCTCTGGATCATAGTGTTTCACTAAGAGCATTTTTGTAAAGCAGCTTCTCATTTTGGAACAATTTCCCAAAACATAATGGGAAACTAGAAGATTGTAAGCCGCGTGATGGTCGACCGTGATGTCTATCAATGATTCAAATGACTGAACAGCATCCTGCTCACAACCACGACCGCACTACAGCGTTGGATGATAACTTCGAAACCTACCTGGTAGTGGCCAGTCCGCATCAAAGAGATGCCAATATTGCGCATGATCTTGTATCGCGTATCTTTGTACGAATTGGGAGTCTGATCAAGGGCCATGCGATACATTTTTACTGCAAGTGCATATTTCTCTTGTTCATAGTAAATGTTCCCCATATTTACTCTTAATCTTCCACCCTGTGGAAACTGCAGGATTTGAAAGGTCAAAAGTCCAAATAGTAAATATGCTGCCTACTTGCTTGCTCTTCACGATTTGTGAATAGGTATTCAACGCTTCCGAGTGTAAACGATTCATTTCATATTGATATCCTAGATTAAAACAGACAGCGAAAGTCAGCTCGGTATTCACTTGATCAGCCTATAAAAATAGCCAGTTGTCAGTGGGAAGGGGAAAATATGACTTGGAATTTGATACCAAGCCCGTCTGCTCTCGATGTTTGCAGAGCATCCTTTCGCGTTTTCCAGCTTCTTTAGCTTTCTCCAGAGCAGTGGCATATTGACCCTGGCTTTAAAATAAAGATGTAAGCAGTATTATCACCAGAGAGCGTACCAGAAAGCTGGCAGTGGCACTTTCCTCCAGCATCTGATTGACCTGACTCTCCAGCTCGCGAACCTGATATTCAGGATTGAGTTCGTCCCTTTTCTGCGCGTTTGTTAAACGTGCACCTTGATTCAAAGGATCGAACTTGGTACCCTGCCAAAGCCGTCAGGCGGGAAAACTTCGTCAAGTGTTGACTTACTCTGGAGGTATAGCCAGCTGCCCTTACAGCCGTCATGGGTCTGTCAAACGCTGTAAGGGAAGAGCTAGAAATTGACCGTGCTCTTCCAACACTAGGTGGTCTATAGTATAGTGCATTCTGTGGGGTTGGAGTCCTCGTATGATCCAAATTGAAGAAGTCCGGTGGTGACAAAGCCTTCCCTCCCTATAGAGATTGAAACGGCATTAATAGATGCATTTTCAGCTAGTTACCAAAAACTCTGAAGCAGTTGATGAAGCGGATAGAGGTGCGACATGGTCATACACTGTAAACTCCTCGTTTGCGCCTAGATTTTCAACAATACCTGCTACCGGCTGCATATATAAAATAATTCACCAACAGATACGGGGAAAAGCCTCACCCTCTGTGGCCTAGCCGTGAGGAACCTGATCTGCTCGTCGTAGTCATTATATCCCTCGTATAGCTCGTTGTAACGTACATCTCGAAAACCCCTGGCGCTACACGAGCTTGTCGCCATCCCAAAACCTAGATTAAACAGACAGTTGAGCATATTCCTTCAGCCTGCCAAATGGTATACCCGTCAACTTTTGGGCTTTAGCCGCCATGTCAGCGACGTCAAGAGCTTACATCGCATATTCTGGAAAAGCAGTTGAATCCGTCGGTGGGTTCTCGTGAAACCGGAATTCTTTGGCTGGTGGGTCGAATGACAGGTGCTGAAATTAGAGTAAAAAATGAAAAAGAAAATAGTGATTTTGAAGGTATAAGTAGAAATTTGCAGTCTGCACTGAAAGATGCCATGGATCTCTCAAATGCCGACTATGACACGCTAGAAGACATTGCCGATGGTTTAGAGAAAATGCTTCATTCATGGAATGATGTTCAGGAACAACGTGCTATGGAATACGCAAGGCTGAAAGAGGCCTTGGCGAAGGACACGTCACAGTGTCACAAGAGGACCACTGACATGAAAGAAACGCTGGAAAATATTGGTGTAAGAGTTTCCCAGGATTCCACAAAAGATGATACTTTTGTCTCCCCTCTGAAACCAAGCTCGCCACAACCACAACAAAAAGGCTCTCCCGAAGATGCTGCTGTCCGAGAGAAGGAGGAGACAAGAATGCTCCCTGAATGGGCTGCCTTGATGACCAAAGAGTTTGCGGATAGAGTCTCCACCAAAAGAAAAGGTGTTCTGAAGCATCTATATGGAGTCAAAGCCATGCCACTAAAGAAAAAACCTCGAAAACAGATCATATCAGTGCAGATTCAAGATAATAATCGTGACAAACGGGATTGCACTTGTGACGAGGGTGACAAGAGTGAGTTCCACCATAATCCAATCTATATTTTAAAATGGTTTGCTTCACTCCTAGACGTTACCGACCAGCTTGAAGGCTTTGTTCAAAGAGGTAGCTATTTTTGCAGGTGAAGAGAGAAAAAAATGGCCCCCTTCAAAGCAAAACCCTCCGAGTTTCATCAAGGTGCTACTCGATCGTGCTTCTTTCTAGCCATCGCACTTTCTTACTTGCCAACTGACATACACAGGGCAAGGATTCGACTAGCCAACTTAAGAAGCAACTTGAAGAGCTTCAAATAGCATTACTGGAGTCTGCAACGGAATATGAGCTCAAGGTTCACCAAAACATCTCATTTCTTTGCTTTCAACTTTTGTATTCTACAGATACTTCAAATGAAGATGCAGATGCTACAAAACAAAAATGACATGTCCAAAAAAAGTCCCCACACACCTCAACAACACCAAAACCAAACGGATGATCCAGTCAGTAATTTCAGCTCATAGTTCTAGCATCAGTTGTCCTATGTTTACTGCAGGACGGAGAAGCTCATACAGTAGACTGCTCTCGAAAACAGGTATCCAGGCTTCAAAGAGAGAAGAAGGACCTGACAAAAGAAGTGTTTGAATACAGGAGAAGAGAGAGGTGAGCATCTGACATGAACAGTTCATGCAACTCACGAAATCATCAAGTAGAAACATCTCGTAATGTTTCAAACAGGATGTTTGAACAACAGCGCAAGGTACTGGAAGACGCGCAGTACAGAGTTAATTGCCTTAAGAGGTGGCTTCAACCCTTCTCGCTTTCTGTGTAAAATACTGTGACATTTTCCAGGGAACTCATGAAAAAGGAAGGGCAGCTTGTGAATGTCCAGCTGCGTGAGAAAGCGTTAAGTGTAAGGGTTTCTCAGTTGGAAGACGCACTTAGGTCGTCATCGAACAAGTCCGACTTTGTAAGACTCTGGCATGCACTTCCTGAGCTTCAAGAATGGCTACAATCGTTGAGAAAGGTTTGTCAATTTTATGGAAGAATTTTAAATTTTTTTCTGTAATTACTCGTTCAACATTCAGGACGGTCCCATAAGGCTGGATCACTCGCATTTACTCCAGGTAGACAGTTTTATCCTCGGTTTTATTCCTGAAAAAAAAACTTGGTCAACAGTTGCAGCACTATGAGACACAGATCGCTAAAGTTCTCGAATCACTGCCTCACAAACCGACTGAAGAGGAAGCCGCGTTGCCTTTCTACAGGAATTGCCAGGCACCACATCAACCACCACTTCCTATTGACAAATGCAGAAAGGTACGTTGCGGTGTATTAAATAAATAGAATGACTTTTGTGCTCTCAGAAACTTTTTGAGAGATACGCAAAACAAAAAAAAGAATCTAAGAAAGAAGCAGAGGCGCTGCAACGAGAATTGCACAAATTAGCGCATCCAAAGACGTTGAAGGTATGCATGTCTTCATGCAGAAGGATGCCTGACTCTTAATTTGCAGTCAGTAGAAAAAGCTGTCCCATCTACTTCTGATACCAAAAGTACTGAAAGTGTTCGGTCAAAGAAACAAGTGCAGCAACCTTATTGGCTATATGGTGCCGCTTTGCTTCTTGGAGGATTGTTGTTTCGAAATCGATGTACCACTTTGGCAAACACTACATGAACGATTATAATTTTGTTCTCCATAATTTTTCTTGGTTGCTGTAAATAATCTGAGAATTTCCATTGATCGATCCTTAACAGGCAGTCGCTCGCCTGTTAAGGTGATCCAGCAGTTCGTAGCTGTCGGATCAAGATTTATTATTTGCAAGAATATTACTATGGCCCTTACACATTCTCCAGAAGATCTAGAAAGAAATCACTCAATCAGAGGTGCCAGTAGCCACGGTGGAGCAATCAGCAAGGTGGCAGATCCTTGGGCGGTGGCTCCAAGCGCTGCCACTCCTCGGCACCGTCCTCCACAATAAACACGGTATCAAGCCCCGTCAAAGAATGCAAATCCAAGTGACAATGAAACGCCCAAGTCCCTGGCAGCACGAGAAGAAGAGAGACGATCATCCCACGAAAGAACTCGCGATAAAACTCTCATAGCACTCAAGAGCAAAGGTTGTTCTCAGCATATCCCAGGAAACAATGTTTTGCTACTCCCTGCAAAGTCTCAGCGTTTGGAGGCAGGCCAGCTGATCGTGTTCCAGGCAACCAACGTCATGTTTATTTGTCCTCCTGAACACTTCTGACGCTTCCACATGTCCACGAGGCTGCTTGCGACGAATGCATCGGCTTTGAATTTGCGAGGTAGACCAACGGCGCTGTGAGCTGAAATCCGGAAATCCAAGCCGCCGTCCTGTGCCATGCGGGTCAAATCTTTGTACACGTGGTGAACATTGATCTGACAATGAGGTCCAATTACAGGTTGCCTCATGTTCAACAGGCTCACCACATGCCCATTAAGGTGGTTCACAGACACAAGCTTCTGTTGGTGAGAATTTTACTGCAACACCCACGTGGCTGATATGGCCTATATAGTTCTAGAGAACTTGTATTATTGCTTATGTGGCACAGACAAGTTCTTCAAAATTGTACTAGTTCAATAAAAATATGTCAAGTATTACTTAACTGGCTTGTGCTTGCCTCACTATAAGGTTGGTAATGGCCACATGCCTGCCTGTTGACTGGCAGAATGGGTTTGCCAGGCTTGTGCCCAGCTCACCCATTCTGGGTGGTAACGGGGTGGCATAGGCCCTTAACCTTTTCATCGCAAGAATGCAAAGCACTGGAGTGGAATCCTTGGTAGTGTGGTGCATCTCTACTTCATCCATGGCACTACCGCTTGCTTCATTGAAGATTGCTGTTGTTGTTTTCCAGTTATTTGATCTTAGAGGTGGCACTAGCGATTACTGCACTGTTGCAACAGCAGTGAAAAGTGAGGAGGCTGAGGCTGATCTCCAATGCCAGGAGCAACTGCCAGAAAAGAAAGATGAGAAGAAGGATGCGGTGATCTCTGACTACTGAGGAATCCTCCCCAAGATGAGCAAGGCAAGCCATGGTCATGGAAGTCCTTCAAGGTAAGCATATTTGTCTTTTTGGAAATTTCTTACTTCTCAGTGAGATTTTCATCACCTGACTGAACAATAAAAAGCGTAGCCCACCACACAATGCTCATGATCATCATGAGGCAGCATCTTCCACAATACCGTAGATTTCATCTCCAGATTGCCAAATCAATAGTGGGATAAATGCACAATCCAGCAACCCCCTCTCTTATGTGACTATGCCCTTGTCATGCTCCCTCTGTGGCATTCCACATCATGCCCAGTTAGCCACCAAATACTGTGCCCCAAATGCTTAATAACTAACTCTAGCAATGTTAAACTTTTATAATTTTGTGCATGAATGGCTATAATTTATAAGTATATAGTCTATGTTTGGTTTAGGCTTTTCTTTATTGTGTCTTATGTTTGTTCCTTCTTATATTTTCTTTCTTATTTTATTTATTTTCTTGATATCCTATCATCTAGGAAGCCTAGCCAACTCAATCAAAACACTTGCCACTCCCAAGTTCTATTTTAAAAAAAGTGTTTTTTCTACTCCCAAAACCATGAAAGGTAGCATGCCTCCATGAATGTTATTGATTAGTGTCCACTCCCCTAGAGCCACTATTCCTAGTTGCTCCGTGCTCTTATACCTTAACTCTTTGGCTGTACGCTAGGGAGTTGTTTCATGCTCTAGTTCATCTCCTGGCTATATGCTCGGGAGTTGGGCTCCTTCAATGGCCCAAGTCCTAGAACTCAGGTTTTGCTCTACTGTCCTTGTGTAAGACACAAATCCCTAAGTTTAATAGTCTCAAGATGCTACAACCTGTGACACACGAAAAGTGTCAGGATCATGGATCATGATTGGCAACATGGACAAGAGGAATTCGAAGCAAAAATGATGATTATTCAGTCCATGTTAGATACAATATCATGTCGTTGTGAGGACCCTGGTCCCCAAGCATGAGAAGAAACTGCAAGATGGAAGAAAAGACCACGGGAGAAAATCATCTAGTGAAAGCTAACCTGTTGCATACTCGTGCTTATACTATTTGAATGATTCATCTGGATCATGATAAACCTGGTGGCCCATAAGATGTAAACAGATGAGACAATCAAAAACTATCTTACTTTGTTTCACTTCCTTGTACTTTGACTGTAAGAGGTTGATGTATAAGACTGCCATTCGGGGCAAAC